CACTCAGTAATTACCAATCTCTCGCTCACTTGCTCACTAACCGTGTTATTTACTAGCCCTCTCACACACTCAGTAATTACCAATCTCTCGCTCACTTGTTCACCAATCGTGTTATTTACTAGCCCTCTCACACACTCAGTAATTACCAATCTCTCGCTCACTTGTTCACCAATCGTGTTATTTACTAGCCCTCTCACACACTCAGTAATTACCAATCTCTCACTCACTTGCTCACTCACCGTGTTATTTACTAGCCCTCTCACACACTCAGTAATTACCAATCTCTCAGTCGTCAAAGTTTTCACTCACCACCTTACTTACTCAGCCACTCACTCACTCACTAAAATTTCACGAACTCGCCAAATCTTTTTCACCGATGCATTCACGTGATTTTTCACTCCCGTCATCCAATCTTACTCCTCCAATATTTCATTCACTCGTTCACCCAACCATTAAATCACCGTCAAACTCACTCAATCTCTTACTCATTCACTCTTCAAATGTTCATAGTCACTCACTCACTCAATCTTTCACGAACCAAACCTCTCACTCACCCGTCCACCAAACCCAGCCATTCAACCAGAGCCACTCATGTCGTTTCACTCCTGCCGCCTGTCATTACGGCAGAGACGCGCGTTGACGGTGCGCGTGCGAGAGTTGCTCTTGAGGACCGGTCCGCGTCGAGGCACGCCGACAACCGCGCACCGATGAGCTGATAACCCTCACCCAAGAGGTGCTCAGCCACCCACGCCTGCCATCGGAGCCTTTGTGATCGTTCACGTTAGCGAGCACCTGTGGCGGCCAACACGAACCACAAGGGGGGGGGGGAGGGTGGTGTGACCAGGGCTTATGCCGGGTTAACTCTGTCTCCCCCAGTACACATTTAAGGCTGAGTGGACCAAGGGGTCGACTGGCATTATTAGAAATTTTTGTAAGAGTTCATAACCGAAGTAAATAGGCACTATTGGAACCTCATTTGCCAGAAGAAAAAATATGATGTTTTTTTACCCTTTTATCTGGCAACAAAACTGACAACTTTTTTACAAGGAGTCATGTTTGCATAGACCACAATACCTGCAGTCAGAGTTATGTTTTTTGTTTGCATTACGACTGCAGGTATTGTGGTCTATGCAAACATGACTCCTTGTAAAAAAAGTTGTCAGTTTTGTTGCCAGATAAAAGGGTAAAAAAACAATTATCATAAATAGGCACTGTTAAAGAGTTTTTTGTTAGTCGTTTGCACGATACATTTGGCCGGTTTTCAATAGGACGAGTCCCGAATAGCAACTCAGAGCTAAAGCATAAATGCTGTCATGTTTAGTTGAAAGCCATTGGGAAAAGAAATATAATTTTAAAAAAATTATGTTACAAAACATTTCTGTGCATTTTTCGTGGGAGGATATCTGGCCATAATTGTTTACGGGCCAGAGCAGAAATTAGTGCCACGTAAGGTAGCAAAACGTTAATGCTGCCGATGTATTTACACGGCTAATGAGAGTGACATCGCCTTGATGATCCCACTCGCTTGAAATGGTTATCACATAACTCACCGTTATTGGTCACATCCAGAAATTGGAACCGCGACGGTTGTGCCAGCTCAAGTGAAATATCTGATGTGAGCTCGTGGGCTGTAAACCACGCCACGCTGGTCAGTGCGGGTTGGCGAAGACGGCAAGCATAGTCGTGGGACCATCGTGCAGGGGATTCTGTCTGCACTGCCCATTGTTTTACAAAACGTATTCATCAAGATCACTTAGTTTCAGTCGAGATGTCCGTTAACTATTTGGTTCTTTCGGTTAAGTCACGTCTAAAGATAAAATAATATATTAAATTAATTAAATTAAATTATCTTTAGACGTGACTTAACCGAAAGAACCAAATAATAATTCCTGCAGTCACGAAAGTTCTAAAATTAAGAATGTCCGTTAACGTTGGGCGCAGCTTCACTAACACGGGTGTGATAAAACGAATAAAAAATTATTTGCCATTATAAGCAAATTCCTGCTAGGGGCCGCCGACCCATAGTTACTTTGAGGTCGGTTAAAACGTGTACCGCTTTATTGTAAGCCTTCAGTGTGGTTATCCAACGAAGAGATTTGTTCACGCGATGGCAACGCGGAATTTCCACCGCTACGTTCCATCAGCGAAGACGCACGCCGCGCCAACGCTCGTTTTGCTGCGTATGGAGACAATGTAACTTGATGATCGGACGAAAGTGGAGATTAATAATACTCATCATTTGTGTTTCGATCGAGCGCCCTGCGCGCCAGGGCATCTCAGAGCGCTTTACACGCGAACCCATAAAAATATCTCCGTTAATACAGAAATCATTTCGTCAGCGTAGCGGGAGCAAGCGGCGCGGAATCCGGCGGTGTCAAGCAGCAACGCCAATGATTGACACCATTGATGCTCGACATTTAGCGCCATGTGCGCGTGGCATTCCGCAGGGCTCGCCTTACGCGTTGGGCGCAAGCAATGAAAAAAAAAACCCAGAAAAAAACACGCACACGCACAAAGATAAAGACAAAGATCCCCCGTATAGCCTTAACAGACTGTAGGGGCAAGTGCTGTTAGCGAGCACCTATGAAGGCCGGCACGGCACACGAGGGAGTGGGTGGCCAACACCACGCCCGGCCGCCTTTGTCTCCCTAGCGGCGATGTTTACACATCGCACTAGGTACTCATTTTAGGCTGAGTCGACCTAGGGGAGGCCCGGGACCGGTTCAGATAATCGTCACTGGTAGTTGGCCGTGAGCGGGAATCGAACTCGGGTCGTCAGGTTCATAGCGAAGCGCGCTAACCGCTACACTATCGCACGCACACACACACACGCACACACACACGCACACACGCACACACACGCACACACGCGCGCACACACACACACACGCACACACGCACGCGCGCACTCACGCGCACACGTGGCGGTGTGACAGCGCAAAGTAAAAAAAACCCATCAAGATATTAAAAGCTGATCTGGCTCTGGGAAGCGGAGAGGGACATCAGGGCCATTAGCAGGGGTCCGGTGTCGGGATAAATTTAGTCGGGGTGAGATCAGTGAGAAGACGATCGCATGAAGTCACAGCCCTGCTTCGGGTCTCTTTGTAAACATTCCTCCGCTGCCGCTGCCGTTGTGCGAAATCTGCTCTGGCCGGCGAGGCATGCGCCCACTAACTCAATTAAGCATCTCATCGCGCACACACGGGTCACTGACCTATCCGCGTCGAGTTCGAGTGTTCTCCACTGCTATTCGCATGTGTGGGAGTCCAGGCGGATGAAGCCGGAGTCTTTGCCAGCACATACCGTGCAACATCCCGAGGCTGTTTTGGAAAAACAAAAAAAATTGGATCTGCCATAACCAGTCACGTGTATTGTTCATGCCTGTCCTCGAAGCGCACTTGAGATAGTTTTTAGTTTGTTTTGTTTCAATAAGTGAAATGTAAAGGTACAGTCCTGCAATGACCAGTTCACGTGGGTGCAAGTGGAAGGGGTCCACTAGAAAGAGCTCAAGAGATGTGGGGTCCCCCCACACTTTATCCCGGCATGCGCGTCATGGCGATCCACGTAACTGTTTTTCACCAATTTAAACTACTAGTTAAGATAATTGATTTTTTACCCTTCTATCTGGCAACACAACTGACACCTTTTTTTTACAAGGAGTCATGTTTACATAGACCACAATACCTGCAGTCATAATGCAAACAAAAAACATAACTCTGATAATGTGCACTGTCCTTGAAGTTGATTGGTCCACACCCGAGACAGCTTTCCTTAGAGCCTAGTCTCACATGGGTTGGACCAGATGACGCCAAAAGGCGCACTAGTTACTAGTTAAGATACAGGCAGTGGTAGGGATTTAATCCGCTTCTTTGTGTCGTACGGCTGATGTAGACGCAGAGCAACAACTACAATTTCACATTTAGGTGGTCAAGCACAGACAACCGCGTCAGGAGTAGCGGAGTTTATCGCTCCGATTTCTCCTTCGTATTTGTGGATCGGGGCATTGCGTCGTTATTTGTTGTATGGTATGTTCTGGATGACCACAGTCGCACATCTGCCATGGTTTGTACGGATGCGTTTTAGGGTGGACCATGAGCTTCCTGGAACATCAAAACCAGAGATCTTTTGGGATTTAATGAACTTGCACCATTGTTTTCACTGCCACGTCGGGAGTTAAGAGTCGATCAGACAGCCTCTGGATTGCAAGTCCAGTGTGCTAACCATTACATCACGGCAGCATGGTCATCCTTGTTGCCACTCACTGGGTTTTAATTAAGCCATAGGAGAAATAATAACATAACAATTCGTATAAATTTAACATTTCATTTTTCAAAATGGAATTGATTATTCTCTACAGCCTACTGGTGTCGGTGGACCGATCAATGCTTTGTTTCAGGGGTGCCACGGTGGCGAGATGTTCACTACCTCACTTGGTATACAGGAGGTCGTGGGTTCGATCCTGACCCTGATTTCTGTAGTATATTTGGAGTTTGCATGTTCTTCCCGTGGTCGCATGGATTTTTCTCCGGGTCCTCTGGTATTTTCCTCGACATTTAGAAACATGCATTGAGTATTTGGCTGCTATAAATTCCATGTGATAAGCCACTTCGATAAGCAATCATTTGTGACCAAGGAAGCTTCTGAAAAATATCTATATATGTATGAGTGGGCCTTACCTGGTAAAATATATTTTTTTTACATTCAGTGTTTAGTCTCATCCTTGCCACGGCTGTCTCCAGTCGGATGGATTTAATCACGGACAGAAAATGTTTCTCTTTTGGCGAGAAAGATACGAACGCCGCTGAGATGGAGTGGTGATATCAGCTTGCGTGCAGGTGCCAGACGCTTACGACGCAAGCCGTCTAGTAAGGCGACGGCGTGGGGAGTGCTTCATCCAGCAGTGGCTTGATGATGGCTGGGCTGTTGATGATGAGTTTGTCTCACACTCACTGAGCCATAAATACATGAATTGAAAACCGATATAACTTTTTTTAATGCATACATTTTTCTCCACTTACACATTGCCTTAATTTGCCGCATGAAATAAAAAGGCATTCGCTTGAACAGCAAAAACAATAAAAATTGGAAACCTGGCAACTATTATTAATTTTAAAAAACGAATGTTTATTGTCAATAGAGTACATCGACGTGGCTGTACAGATGGAGCGTGACACTGCTCGCTATTCGAGGCTGTGAGCTCGTGTTTCACTTGTTGGCCGCTGTGTTCAACTCCAGCGCAGCAACTCTTGCTACCACCAGCTGCTCTCAGTGATGGATGCTGCACGAGCAGGAGATGACGAAACTATAAACCCTAGAAACAAAACGCGGCCAAAAGCTGAAAGTCCATACGCTGCAAATGGGAAGAGATGCAAGCGGTTTTGGAGCGGAGTGCGAAAGCTCGATCAATGTTAGCACCATCCCTAACCATAACTGACTATTCGACGAGTTGCTAACACTAGCCCTCCCTCTGACCATAATAATATCCTTACCGCTATCCAACCTGCCACCAGTACTAGTCCTACCCCTAACCTTTATCCTTACCGCTAAACTAAGCAACCAACCACGAGTACTAGCTCTGCTACTAACCCTAACCAACTAGCTAAGCAGCCACCGACACTAGCTCTATCCCTACGTCTAACCATAGCTTTACATCTGACTAGGCAATCAGTAACTAAAAACTATCCCACCCCAAACCCTAATCAACAGCACAGTATAGAGCCCTCCCTCTGACCCTAACAATATCCTTACATCTTCTTGGTTCTTTCGGTAAAGTCACGTAAAAGGGAAGTAATAAAATAATAAAAATAAAACATAATTTTATTTTATTATGTTTTATTTAAAAAATAAAACATAATTTTATTTTATTATGTTTTATTTTTATTATTTTATTACTTCCCTTCTACGTGACTTTACCGAAAGAACCAAGAAGATGAATCCCTGCAGTCACGAAAGCTTTAAATCGAAATATCCTTACACCTAACCCGCGAGCCAACCAACCACTACTACAAACCGCACTCCTAACCCCAACTGACTAGCCAAACGTCCACTAGTGCCAGCCATCTCACTACCCTCAATCCCACTTTCAGCATTTTATCGAAACAATTTTTCACGTTCTGCCCGCCGTTCAGTTTCAGTGTTGGCGGCACGTGGTGGGCGAACTGCCGCCGTTTAAACGCATACGAGGCGCGCGTGTGAGCGTGTGCGTGCGTGCGCACGCCGCTTTACGATCACTTGGCAAACGCGGCGGTGGCGCGCGGGCAACCGCGGAGCTCAGAAGGACGGGTTCCCGAACCCTGCCAGCCGCTGCCCCTCGTGGATTTCGCTCAAGAGCAGCTCGTCCTGCAGGTTGAGCTGCAATGCAAACGCACAGACAAGCGAACGGGCCCGACAGGTCAAAACGGACATCGTCCCCCGTACGGCGGTATTCCCGTTCGCCAATGAAGAGGGCAAATGATCCAACTCTTGGGGCCGGTGCGGGCGAAAAGTGAGACGCGGGTGAGCGCACTGCGTGCCGCGGCGTCACGGGACCCGCCGTCTCGTTAAGAGCAGGGGGGGAAGGGGGAGTTCTCGCAGTAAAATCCGAGACCCACTGACATGAAGTCACTGTGGAAATAGCACGTGCCCAAAAAGGCTGACACGGAGCGGGCTATAATGGTGATTTGAGTTGGGGACGTGGTGGCGTTGGGGCGTTGTGGGGGGGGGGGAGGTGAGAAAAAGGTTAAGGATAGCAGGCTAAGCGCTCGGTGGTGGTGGCAGTGGTAACAGTTGTGGTGGTGGTCGCGGTGGCATTGGGTTAATCGCTGCCTGGCCCAGTGCGGATTATACGAGGGCGCTTGGGACACGCGATAGCCAACACATTGCGCTCGTCACTCACATGCTTCCGGGCTGCAAAGTCGACATGGCGCACACCCCGTAAATCACACACGTGCTTGTGTTACTTTGGTTAATTAAAGACTCACCTCAAAGTGGAAAGTATACGTTCTAAATCGTCGAATGCACCGACACGGATTAACGCTCATGCAGAAAGAAGAGAAAATTGTAATGCTATGGCAAGGGCAAATTTGCAGGCATTTGCCTGGAAATCGTACTGCGCGTATAATCGGAGGGGCGATTGAGTTATCCCAGTGACTAAAAGAGGCAAAAGCACATTACAACAAGCTCGTGGGCCTCGCCGGGTGTACATTACGCGCTCAATTCCTGCCGCTCATCGATAACGAGGAAATGTGCACGTACAAGTACGGGCCTATTTGTAATTCCACTGCTGGATGAAGGCCTTCTCGCACCGCGCGAGCCACGGGAGTTGTTTGATCATTACCTCCCATGCTGGGCAGTGCAGGTTAGCGATAGCAGGGAGCACAGACACTGGGGCAGAGTACAGCGCAACAATGGATTATGCTGCATTGCCCTCTGTTGAGACAGCAGCCCCCTAGCCACCTACAACACCTGGATTATGCGTGGGTGTCACCCGTTCAAGCACTATGCAGGCTCCACAGCTGCTTAGCTTCTGACACCAAACCATGTGCGTTCTGGGTGATGTGATGATATGCAAACGGAAAACATTATTGACCAAATGAAGCTGGTTGGAGGATGCCCTGCAGAGATGGCACAAACCAGCTGAGAGCCTAATTGAGTCTCTTTATGAAGCGAAACCTGGGGGATAACACAGCGAGACATTACACACACACACACAGACAACACAGTGGAACAACTTTGCCACAGTAATCCATCAGCTTTGGTCCGGAGCTGGCTGTGACCTTGTTACGAACGTCCCCCATCGACGGCGCTTGCACGCGAATGGTTTGCGCGCGCACGCACACAGCCGATCTGGTGACCTCCGGCTCTACTCCCGTCAGTCGCTCAGTCCGGCTGTTAGAGCTCGCGCCAACAGCGACCGCATTCCGCGCACCGCTGTCGTTCCGCACCTATCCGGGGAAGCATTCTTCTCCTCTAGCGCCAGCCTTGACGCCAACGTAGGGCGTGCACGTGCCCTGTCCTGTCTGCCGCTGCCATCGCGGTGCTAAAGGAAACCGCCAGTGCCCACCCTTCGACCTTTTGTATCTCATCGCCGAGGTGCGGACGTGCGCGCGGCCGAGCGGGGACTGTCGTGGCACGCGCGTCTCCCGTTCTACGAGTGGATGGACGAGGGACGTGGAGGGTTTTGTCAGGGAATGTGGTGAAAAAAGACACGCAGCGCTTAGCGTGCGAGCTGTGGACTGAATTTCGATTTAAAGCTTTCGTGACTGCAGGGATTCATCTCCTTGGTTCTTTCGGTAAAGTCACGTAGAAGGGAAGTAATAAAATAATAAAAATAAAACATAATAAAATAATTCTCACGACGTTTCGGCCACAACGCAAGCAGCCGTCCTCAGGTGAAGAACAGGTCTGTCGGGGAGACAGCGTCTGAATGAAACAACACCACGCTTGGAGCGTATATTTAATCTGGGTTGGAAGGGGGTGAAAGGGCGCCTTGACAAAAGAAGTAGTACTAATCACATACCTGCATTCCCATAAATATGCTAAATTCCTCTTGATATGCAAATTATTTTGTCAAGGCGCCCTTCCCCCCTTCCAACCCAGCTTAAATATACGCTCCAAGCGTGGTGTTGTTTCATTCAGACGCTGTCTCCCCGACAGACCTGGTCTTCACCTGTGGACTGACTTCAGACAATTTTGGGGACGTGTGGATGTGCACGGTGTCCACAGTGATCTCCGAACCAAATCGTATAAGTGATGTTTGATGAGGTAGCCAGGAGGCTTAGAGGTCAGAGGTCAGAGCGCTGAGCAAGCACTGCTGAGATCGTGGGTTCAAATCCTGGAAAGCCGCCTGTGATTAAAGGACAGGGAGCATGGTACGTTTGGAATACCACTGGGAGCCATAAAGAGACAGAAAGAGAAACACGTGGATCAGAGAAGATGTGCAATTAAGTGACGTATTAATTCACAATTGGAACCTCATTTGCCAGTAGCAAAATATGATAATTGCTTTTTTACCCTTTTATCTGGCAAACAAACTGACACCTTTTTTTTTACAAGGAGTCATGTTTGCATTGACCACAATACCTGCAGTCGGAATGCAAACAAAAAAAACACAACTCTGATAATGTATGCACTGTCCTTGAAGTTGATTGGTCCACACCCGAGACAGCTTTCCTTAGAGCCTAGTCTCCATTGGTGTTGGACCAGATGACGCCAAAAGGCGCACTTGTTGTATTCATTGTAGAGATAAGCGTACTTGGGCAGGACCCATTGCAAGAAGTGACGAACACAGTAGTGGGAAGCCAAAGCGGGAACTCGTCGAGAGGTCATCCAGTGCAGAGACGGAGTGATGACATCAGATCGCGTGCAGCGGCTCGATGGGCTCTTTGTGTTGCGAGACAATGGGATGGCGATGGCTTGGGGAGTCTATCATCCAGCAGTGGATAGATGATAAATAACGATGAAGACGACGACTCCTGTGTCAACCACTGCCTTCCTCCCTTCTATGCCTACTTCTATGCCTGTCTTTGGGGCCGTCCATAAATGACGTCACGCGATTTTTGACGATTTTTGACCCCCCTCCCCCCCCTAGTCACACGGCGTCACAAAAAGTCAGCTCTGCCCCCCCTCCCCCCCCAAAAAAAAATAAAACATGCTACAAATCTTGATTTAAAGCTTTCGTGACTGCATGGATTCATATTCTTGGTTCTTTCGGACGATTTTTATAATTTTATTATTTCCCTTCTACGTGACTTTACCGAAAGAACCAACAATATGCCACAAATCGCTTTAAACTATTGTCAATGTAGTGCGTATTTAATGTGGCGCTGCACTCTGATGTTGTAGGAGAAAACATTTATTACAAAGTCTATTTCATCAAGTAGAACGTGTTGTCTATATTTATTTAAAGTTGCGCATTTTGATGTGACGTCACATTTCTCAACTCCCCCCCCCCCTCGTCACACATCGTCACAAATGTCTGAACCCCCCCCCCCCAAATAGGGGCGTGACGTCATTTATGGACGGCCCCTTTATGCTCGTCTCAATAACCTACCTCGATGCCGAGTGCTCTATCTTCATGCCTGTATGCTTGTGTCTTTGTCTATCTCTAAGACTGCCGCTATGCTGGTGTCTAAGTCTATCTCTAAGTCGGTTTCTACGCCTGCCTTGCCCACCTGCCCTCCTCTGCCCGTCTCCACGCAAGTGTCCGTGTGGTCGGCGCCTCGGACAGGCTTGCCGTGCCTGAAAGGGGCTCTCCTCTCCCCTGGCAGTGAGAAAGAACAGACACATTATGGCGTCCGTGGCGGGCGAATGGATTTCAGATGATGTAATTATACATAATTAAGCAGCATGGGCAGAATGCGTTTCCGGGGTGCCGTTGCCAAGCGGTCCAGGCATTTGGTGCGCAGGAGGCAAAGGGAGGAGGAGACGGAGGAGGGCGAGGGGTGGCGTGTGGTGTGCATGCGTGTGTGTGTCTGTGTGTGTGTGGATGTGTGTGTGTGTCTGTGTGTGTGGGGGGGGGAGCGGTGGTGGAGCGGTTAGCGCGCTGCGCTGTGAACCCGGCGACCTGAGTTCGATTCGCGCTCACGGCTAACACCGGTGACGATTATCTGAACCGGTCCTGAGCCTCCCCTAGGTCGACTCAGCCTCAAATGAGTACCTGGTGCGGTGTGTAAACATCGTCACTGGGGAGACAAAGGCGGCCGGGCGTGGTGCTGGCCACCCACCCCCTCGTGTACCGTTCCGACCTTCATAGGTACTCGCGAACAGCACTTGCCCCTACAATCTGTTAAGGCTACACGGGGGATCTTTGTCTTTGGGGGGAGGGAGGCGGTAATGTAGCGGTTAGCGCACGTCACTACGAACCCGGTGTCCCGAGTTCGATTCTCGCTCACGGCCAACACCAGTGACGAATATCTGAACCGGTCCTGAGCCTCCCCTAGGTCGACTCAGCCTCAAATAAGTACCTAGTGCGGTGTGTAAACATCGCCACTGGGGAGACAAATGCGGTGCGGCGTGGTTCTGGCCGGCCTTCATAAGTTGCTCGCTAACAGCACTTGCTCAAAAAGTCAGCGAAGGCTACACAGCGGATCTTTGTCTTTGTGTTGTGGGGAGGCGGTAGTGGTTTCAGGCACGGCGGAAGGACACGGGAGCAGGAGGACGTGGAGTGGCGTGCGGTGCTTGCGTGTGTGTAGAGAGCCCGCGGGAGGACACGGGAGGACCCTCTAGATTTGAAGCTTTCGTGACTGCAAGTATTCATATTCTTAGTTTTTTTCCGGTAAAGTCACGTAGGTAAAAAATCTAAATTAATAAAAGTAAAATAAAAATAAAATAAAAAATCACGACGTTTCGGAGGCAACACAAGCTTCCGTCTTCAGGTGGAACCGTCACAGCACGCTTGCTGTATCAAGTAAATGAGAGATTCCAAAGGATACTACCCCGTATATATGTTTTTATTTTACTTTTATTAATTTAGATTTTTTTACCTACGTGACTTTACCGAAAAAACCTAAGAATATGGGAGGACCCTCCTCTATCGTGGCGGGTGGGCGGGTGCGAGCGTGCAGCACAAAGAGAGGGCGGCCGTGCCACGATCAGGGTGGGTCACTGTGGGTCTCGCCCGCTCGGTGGTCTCGGGGGACCGGTGGGGAGGGGCTGCTGCTGTCGGGTGAGCAGCAGTTGCAGGACGGGTGGGGAGGATGACGGGAATGGAATTATATGGGGCCACCTTGAAGCGGAACGATCATCGCGTTCACCGTGATTATCTTCACCATGAGCAACTGCTGATCCAGTGCTGGATGAAGGCCTCCCCATGCCACCCTTCACAGTTCTGCGACACCACAATCCATTTCGCTAATGTCCATGAACCGATGCCATTGCTCCGTCTCCGCAGTGATCACCTCCCTTGGCGTGTGTTCTCTGGTCACTTTAAGATGTTTTCTTGTTCATGTTTTTGTTTGTTGCGGTTGCACCAGATTCAAGAGCCGAATGGCTCACAGGGCTATACCAAGTAAATGAAAACATAAATAAAAAAACTCTCCTTTGTAATTTTTCGTCAGCAGTCTCGTCCATCAGTCCCAACAGCCTACATAGGCTACACACAGATGTCGTGACCTTTGCTCTCCATGTGTGGACATTACTTCTCAAGTTCAAGTTTCTACGTCGATATGGCGAAGACTCGGGCTCCGAATGTAGAATAACTCACTGGAGCAGCTACGTTCGTCTTATAAGACTTGATGTGCCGGTATGCAGAGTCGGGTCGTGGTCCCATCTGCTGCTGCATTTAGCTCATCAGCATACGTGAACCCATGGGACCCCATTCATGTGGTCAACCAATGCCCTTCACATATCCACATTGGTGCAGCCATCTCTGTGATTAAAGCTGTTTCCATAACTTCACCCCAGCACTGCACTGAACAGACAACACTGCCCGCTCCTGCGCAGCACTCTTACCCTGTGATGGACAAAGTAAAACGCGTCGAATAGGTAAATGGACGAATGCTCAATTTTCAAGCTAATGCTGGAGGAGGGGGGCCTGACTGACAGCTTTCAGTGTGGCCAGATTAGTGGACCCCGATTTAAAGGGCGCGGAGGCTGGGCAGCTTCAGGGGTGGCGGTCCCATCTCAAATGTCCAAAGTTAACCCATTCCCAGCACGAGCTGTGCGACAAGGGCCGCAATGCAGAAATGCAAACACAGGGACTATGCGGAGGCCTTGGGGGAGGGGGGGGGGGAAACACAGCACGCACTCTCATCCCCTCTGCTCAGCCAGATGCCACGAGATCCCACGGTAATGTTCGCAAACAGCGGTACTTCACTCCACCGCTGAGGAACGATAAACATTCGCATCGTGCGAAGCCGCAAACAAATCTACAGAGTAACGCTCCTTTAGGAGCCAACCGTTTTGAAGCTCCCCAGAGGTACGGCCAATCAACGTCCACAGTGGAAGCAGCTGTTTTAAAAGGACGACTACGCGGTGGGTTTCATCAGGAGCTCATCGTTGGTTGACTGAGGATTTTATTTTCTCTCCATCGAATGACCTCCACAGGTCAGTGTGGACGGCAGCTGTCTTCCCCACCCAGCATCCGATCAAGCCCCCCCATCCCTTCCATCTCCCAAACCCTCAACCGTCCACTGGGTTGTGGAAGGCAGTGGCAGAGGCACCGTATGACAGGTGGGTGAGTCGACAAGGGAGCTCACCTTGACGGCGTACTTGTACGACTGCTCCGCCTCCAGCTGCCGCCCCGTCTTCGCGGACATACAGATGGGCGAACGGACGGACAGACACACGGAGAGGGAAAGACAGACAGCGGCGGTGGTGGCGGACAGGCAGTCGGTAACGTGCGTGGGTGCGTGCATGCGCATTTGTTTTTGGTAAAAAAAAAGAGAAAGAAAAAAATGAAACACAGTAACAGAACATCAGTAAGCTCTTTTCCCACCAAAACAAAACACAACCCCGCGTTGTTTCGGTCTCTGTGAAGGTCCGGCCATAGAGTGTTTATTCAGCGAGCCAATACAAAAAGCGAGGAAAGGGAGGCGTGCGGGAGTAGTGGGATGGGGGGTAGGGGGTACGGGGGGGGAGAAAAAAGAAGGCCGAAAAAAAAGAAAAGAAAAAGGAAGGGGCTTTTATTTTTGCCGTGCGGTCGGCGATGGGGTTGGGACTGGGGTCCTCCCTCATTGAGCCCTGACACAGTGGCGGTGACATGGATGTAGGGCTGCCGTGGTAATGCTTTGGCAGCTGCTGACAGAGCCAGAATGGACAGACGCACCCGCGGTGTAAATGACTCCCACCCTAAACAGCTCTTAAAAAAAATCTAAAAGGAGAGGCCTTCCCAACGCCCAGCACCCCCCCCCCCCCCAACTTTCTCCCCCTACCCCCCAGATTTCTAGCCTCTATCCCAAACCAGCGCTGTGCGTCTCGTTCACCCCACCCCCTCCTCCTCCATCCCCCACGTCTTCCCGTCTCCCCGTCTCGTCATCCCTCCTCCAGCTAGCCCCCTCGCTAGCGTCGCCCACAGCTGTACATGAGCAGCCCCCCCACCCCTCCCACCCCCCTCCATAGGTGAACGGCACAAAGGGCGCGATTCAGCTGGACGGCTCATTCAACGTTTTGCCTCTCGCTTGTTAATTGGTGCCAATTAGATTTGGTGAACAACCTAATTACAATTATGGGATGCGACGGTGAGTTCGTTTAGAGAGGGTGGCGATGCAATCTCGTGTTTGGGATGTTTTGGTATTTGTCTTTGAAAAAATATTTACGTTTGTGTTCTAGTAATTTGAATTATGTCAGCAAGATATAAACAAGCCGGGGCTTTATTAGTGCAAGGCTAATGTGCAGCACTTGTGTTTATATACTCGCTAAGTGAGAGTGCATGTTTAATAAACGCACACAACCTTTTTATTGCTTATCCTTTGTTGACATCTGTACACACTGCATTAGGCTTAATTTGCTGTTAATTTAAACTAATAAACTAATATAAATTGATCTGCAATGCTTGGTAGCATCTGAATGACATAATATAAACAGTAAAGGAAAATAAACTCCACGTGTTATTGATAACAAAAAATTAAAATACATCCAGTTGTAGGATTAAAAAATCAAATCCTGGCCAGGTTCAAGTCAACCCCATTATCAATCATCATCTCTTCGTGGTTGGAAAAATGAGAACCACCTGTTCAGACTGCACCTCATCGTGTAAAGTCAACAGTCATTATAATAATAGGATAAGACAAGCCTTGCCATAGTAATATGGAATCTCCACCTCTGGTCCAAGGATGGCCACAAAATAAAAACAACAAATATTTTAAATATACTTTAAGGCCAAAGTCTCACAAGGAGCTTTGAGCGTTGGTTCCACGCCTCCAAGTCCTTGATCGAACAATGTATTTAATTTGTGAAATGTGTGCATTAGAAACTGTGTTTATTATTATTAGTGCACTAGCGATGTTACTGCCAGTCTAACCACTGAATCTCTTCAGCAATTCAGCTGGAAAGCTCATGAAAGTCACATAAAAGTCACGTGAAAGTCACTCAATTTTCATTCACGAAGCTTCATGCTCACGTTGGCAAGTCTGAGACACGCAGCCTGGGTGCGTAGCCGTAAGGCAGAACTATTTGTAGTTTTGGGTTGTGCCTGCCTTCAACACAAGAATAGGACATCTTTTTCTTGTTCATAGTCCTTCAATCCAGACAGAGATAGATCGCTTGTCGGTACATAGCTGTTGTGGTTCCAATGTCTTGATGTGGCCAATTACAGTGAATTGTGTGATAACGACTTGAAATGAATGGCCGTATACATACATTGGAACTACTAAAGCTCTGCTATCTGAATTGGTACCGAAATATCTGCTCTGGACCATGGACTATGAGGACCAAATAGGACTTTCAAAAACTTTTGGCGGGTCACACTTTAAAACACGCTTCGGTCATTTTGGAAGCGCGCGTTCAAACGCTGTACCCCTTTGCCCGATCGCTCGTGCTTTGTAAATGGCCTCTTGTTTAATAAAAAAAAAATTATATTCGAAACGGTATTTTTTCAAAGCTCGGAAATATTCCTCTCCAGTACCCCAACGAGTGCGGGCTATGAAGCTCGCCGCATCGGCAGCATGTAATTTGCGGACTGTTTTTTCAAGTGGCAGGCACCATGTGGCCACGATGCCGTACGAAATAAAGTCGCGTCTTGCCTGCCGGCCCGAAACGTTCCGTACCCCACTCCCACCCCCTCCCCTCCCCGCCACCCCTTTGCTTTTAGGCAGCGAGCGTTTCGGCAACGGGGCGCGGCGGTGGCATTGAAAAGCGTCGCGGTGAACGCCGGGCGCGTCGCTTTATTCTCATTAATCTGGCTCTGAGAAGTGGGCCTGGCGACAACGTGTGAGCCGGGCCTGCCCTCGGGCGCGGGGAGTTGGGAGGGCGGTGGGGGAGGGAGGGAGTCAGGGCAACCCGTGGGGTCCTAGCGGTGGGGTTACGGGGAGGGGGCGGGCGGTGGAGAGGAGATGTGCTCGGCACACAATGGCCAACTACCATCTGAGAAAGAGAGAGAAAAAAAAACCTTGGCCGAATACACATTATAATAGAGAAAGGTAAAGGTGTAGCCCTGCAATTACTTGCTCACATCACTGCTGGCGGAAGGGCCTTAACTAGAGGAAGCTCAAGAAAGTGCCTCGAAAGGGTATTTGGCCTACTCTCCCACTTCAGAATTAATCAATTAATCCTCAGATCTCAGGAACCAAGAAGGACTGATCCTAGATATTTGAATGGGAGATTGTCTGGGGACAATAAGTGTTGCAGGCTTGGGCTGCGAGCTGGCCAGGTGATGTCAGCACAGTAATGCACTTTTGAATGTATTCGTGTGGAGTTTTGAGGGTAACCCTCTTATATGCATGGTGGGTTTTCTCTGGGTAGTCCAATTATCTTCCTCAAACTCTCATTAATGGTTTTGCCAAACATCCCAATGCAGCAAACGAGTCTCTAGATTCGTTGTGGGGTTTTTTCCGAGACAATGGCATTACTATTATAGTCGGAGACAATTTTATAATTGGAGATTTGAGCCATGACTCAACCCCAGAACACCGCAGGAGACATCACACGGACTTTGAAATGTCCATGTCAGATCAGAAGGTGGTCTTCAGTGATAACAGCGCCCAGCAGCATATCCCGGGCAGGCTAGAGCAATCAGACCGTCAACCCCGTGCAAATTGGCTCACTGGCGAGTGAGCCAACTGCTGGGCTCCTGCAATTCTTCACCCCCGTACCATCATCACTAGCACTCCCACAGCCTAGAGCCCTCGTTTATTCATTCATCCCCCAAATAAACCCCATGGTGCCAAGGCCTCCAGAGCCAGCGAGCGGTAGGGCAGGGGCCAGCGCTCGGTGAGAAAGCGACGGCCGTGCAGCGCACGGGGAGGGGCGGCGTGGGGACCCCCGACCACGCTGTTGACAGACGCCCGAGGAAGCGGCCTAATCCCATTTGACGGAGGCGGGAAAACGCGGAGCAGGACCACCACCGCCGCTGACCGCGGTAGAGGAGAAAGCTACCTGTCCTCCCGCCTCACTCACCTCCCGTTATCGTCGTCGTTGCGGTGCACACGTGCACATTTTTTACAGATGGTCGTTTGTGTCGATGCACAAGATGCACTTGGGAGTAAAATGAAAACAAATGTTGACGAGAGTGAGGGAGGGAGAAATAACTAAATGTTTGGCTGTGTAGGCAGACATTCAGGCAGATAGATGGACTGGCAAGTAGACGGGTGCTTCGTTAGATAGGCAGGCCGATAGACAGACAAGCAGACAGCTAAGTAGACAGACAAATAGACAGACAGAAAGACATATGGGCAAAGGGAAATCCGAATTGGCAAAAAAACAAAACAATTCCCCTCTCAAAATGGGTCTTCAGACTCAGCAAGGCTCTCTTTAGAAATCAAAGCAAATGTTTTATATCTATAGAAAGATTCATACAGAGAGGCACAGAGACTAAAGCCAACAAAGGCTGATAAAGATTGAGGGAAGCGACCGACAGATGACCGGAGATCATCGGGGCAATTAGAGGCATCGCACGGGGAGATCGTAAAATGCAGGGCGAGTGACCGGCACAGCGGAGAGCGGGGCGGCTCACAACGGAGGTTTTGGTCGCGTGCACAGTGGCGTCATGGGGGCGCCTGGGGTTGAATCTTGGCAGCGTCAGGGTCCAATTCCACCCCAGGGCCATTTAATGCGGCCAATTAGGCACCATCAATCTGACAAGTCCACGCCATACTGCGTTTACTTCTCGAGCCAACTCGAGTCTGCGGCTCCAAGGTTTAAGAAAAAAATTTGTATGCATTTCATAAGTTGAATTAACTTTAGTACAATAAAGCATAGTCAAATAACCTCCCCTCCCCCACCACGACCCGCATGGCATAGTTTACTGAAAGAGCCACAGAAGTAGGAGCTCACCTGTAGACACACGAGCGCCAGGTAGGCCCACACCTCCGCATTGCTGTTGTTGAGGAAGTTGGCCTCAGCCAGGGCGTCCTCCGCCTCGGTCAGTTCTCCCAGCTGCCAGCGGCACACGAGGGGGAACCACCAAGTCGAATTTCACGGCACAGCGTAAAGGGCATGGAAATTATAATGCCCCTTTTCCGTTGGCACATCTGAGCTGCGCTGGCGCGGGACCGTCAGTACAGGTTATTTTTTCACTCGCTTACTTTCTTGAGCCAAGCCAGAATCATACTGGGGAAACTCCGGCCTCACAAGACATATGAATCGGGCTCGGGGGAAAAGTAGGGTCAGGGAGAAATCATTTTCATTTTATGCTCATTAATTGTGTGTAACGTTGGTGGCATCGATTGGGTTTTGCGGCAGAAAAACAACAAGTTGCCGATTCCTGAACCGCATCAGCTGGCCTGGCATGGCTCCGTCACGGTTCAGTTGGACATTGGAAAAGGGATAGCAGTGGTATAAAACTAAAAACGAAACTATTTTTTATTTCACCAGGTAAGGCCCACTGAGCTGTATAGCTCTTTTTCAGAAGCGACCTGGCCACAAATGATAGCTCAACAAAGTGGCTTATCGTTTAGCCAAATACTCTAAACGCACGTTGATTCTAAATGTGCAGGGGAAAACCAGAGGATCCGGAGAAAAATCCATGCAACCGCAGGGAGAACGTGCAAACTCCAAATATGCAGGTGTCAGGGTCGGGATCAAACCCACGACCTCCTGCATACCAGGCAAGCTTGTTAGCATCTTGCCACCGTGGCGTTCAATAAATGCCGAAGACAGAGCCCTGTGGCATAGAAGAGTCGATCTCGCGGTCTGTGATCGGATCGAGGCAGGAAGGAAGGACGGGTTATTGCAGCGTATATCAAATTAATGTAAAGAGTTGCCAAGAAGCGTAAAAGTTGTGGCTGACCCTGTAGCAGGAGATGGCGACACCCAGCCAAGACAAGCAGGACGGAGACAGCTTGCAGGCACGGAGATACGCTTCTTTGGCCTCCTCAAACTGTGAAACAAACAATACCGACAAAGTGAGTCACCCAGGCCTCGCACATGTACATCCGCAGCCCTTTTTTCTATCCACTGCTGGATGAGGCCCTCGTCACGCCGTGTGAGTCGTGGGATTTGATTTAACCATACTCCATCCTGCCGGTCAATGTGGGTTGGTGAAGGCAGGGAGTGTAGCTGTGTTCGCATACTGCAGTAGAACAATGGATTTGTGCAAAGCTTCTCATATCCCCCCCCCCCCCAACCAAAACGTAGAGACTATAAATGGTAATATATCGGTACAATATTAGGAAAATATCGTAAATTAGCATTTCATAATTTTGTGTCTAATATTTGTGTAAGCACGCTACATTATATTAATCATGAAGAAATCCACAGGCAAGGGTGCGTTTAAATGCGAATGCCAAACATTCAACCAGGCCCCCCAGACCAATGTATTTAGCAGCATTGTTTTGTCAGATAGAGACGGTCACAAGTTGCAACCTCGTGATGGACAAACCCTTGATACTTCAGTTTGACGAAATAATGCTACTTTATAACTCATAATAGACCAAGACAGCGCATAATCATTTTATATTGTATTATACATAACTCAGGACACGTCATGCACTATTTATAATACTTATAGAGCTTCACTGCTTTAATCAACACTTTTTTCAAACAAGAGTTGTTTTTAGCAAGGTCAAGGGTATATCAATAAGTCAGCAGCATTTTGAAATAAACCAAACATTTCTAATTGATCGCTGCTCATAAAAACCACTCTGCATTAAATGCATAAACACAGCGGTTACTTAGTCGAGGTGGCAACACTAATTCAGTAGCAAGTGGGAGCAGCTACGGGCGGCAGTGCGCGGATCTTCGCAGGACCATAGAACCCCAAGCCATCATTAACAACCGTACATCCATAGGCATGCAAGCGACGTGCGACCGGGTGACCCGGCTCTTCCGCAGCCCGGTTACGGTTACCACGTCGCCAGCGTGCCCGGGGTCGGCTTGCCGAGGCCACGGGATGGGGGGGGGGGGGCGGTGGAGATGGCTGCGGGACATCGGGACCGGCGTGCGATCACCCTGATCACCCCTCTCGGTTTCGAGTGACATCACATGCCTGGCCGCCGGGCAAGCGCGCTATTTCTGGGGCGATGGCCTCATCGGGGGATACGCTTTCCTAGCCTTCTAAAGGCAGTCGTATCCACGGATATATAAAACCCGGCTAAACATTCGCGGGAATGTTAACGACGGACGCCCCGCGGTAAACAGTTTTGCGATTCAAAAATCAGATGTTCGTGCCGCCGTGATAAGTGGGGTTGCAGGCTCAGGCTTAATCTCGTCATCCTGCCGCGGCGGGTTGAATGGGACAATGTCGCTTCGGTCACCTTGCCACGGGAGTTGCGCAAAAATGGGGGTAAAAAAAAAATCCACATTAAGTCGCCATCCGCGGAGATGACAACGGCGGCGCCAATGCGAAAGCACGCGCGGATTTATGCGTTAATGTAAGGAATGTTTTTATACAGCGCCAAGGGAAGGGTTGTAATCTACGTTGCATGACAAAGGGGGGAACTGTGCGTTGGTCGCATTGCCCGCGAGGTGCCCCACGCTTTACACGCGCCGTCCTAAAGGGGGGCTCACTCTCAGAACGAGCTAATCACCTCTGAGTGGACTCACTTTGTACCGTGCTCCAATTAAAATCAAACACATTCTGTGAATGATGAAATAACGCATCACAATAGAAAAATAGGTGCAGGCTGGAATGGCCACACTACCAACTCTCATGAACTGGTGGTCTACACAATAATTCAGCCGTACTTTCAGCGACATTAAGTCAGTGGTTTAGACAAGGCTGACAGCATTATACATGCAATGTGGTGGTCACATGACACGCACACAATGCATAATGGGAGTCATGCCTTCTTATTCTTTGTGAGCAGCGTGCCTTTGCTCGTTATTATTTCCATATTCTGCTTTGTTAGCAAGGAGAGGCAAAGGAGCAAGCCAGCAGCAAGGGGCAGTGGGCGGAACGATAATGTGTGGGTGAGCTGTGCCCCATCACCAGGGGTGCTACGGTGGCAAGATGTTAACTACCTCGCCTGGTGTACAGGGGGTTGTGGGTTCGATCCCAACCTTGACGCCTGTATATTTGGAGTTTGCATGTTCTCTCCGTGGTTGCGTGGATTTTTCTCCGGGTCCTCCGAGTTTTCTCTCCACATTTCGAACGCGTGTTTAGAATATTTGGCTGCGATAAATTCCCACATGATAAGCCACTTCTTTGAGCTATCATTGTGATAGCCAGGTCGCTTCTAAAAAATATCTATTTCGCTCAGTGGGCCTTTCCTGGTGAAATAAAAAATTGTTAGTTACTTAGGTACCTGTGTGTCTCGCGTGTAGATGGAGGCCAGGCGCATGAGCACGGCGCGCGTGTCCGACGCATCGCTCGTGAAGCTCAGCGTGCGCTGGTAATGATCCTTGGCCTCGTCCACTCGCCCCGTCAACAAGCACACGTGACCCAGTTGGGCCCAGCCGTCAGGGTCCTGTGGCGGGACCACAGCGTGAGTTGGTCAGAGGGGTTGAGAGAGGGGGGTGCGGGGAAAGAGACAATGGCCACTCACGGCGATGTCACGCAAGTTTAAAGTTCCTCGGGTGCTTTCCCTCCCTCGGCTGCCACTCTGTTGTTAGTCTCGACCAATGGGCATCATCATCCATTCTTCTCGTGACGTGTCCTGCCCAAACTCACTTACTTTTATGAACATTCACTAAGTGTCTGATTTGCATTTGTTCAGTGATTTACGTTTTTCCTGTCCGTTTCTCTCAATCCAATTCCCAGCATGCTTTTCTCTATGCTTCTTTATACACATGAGCCTTTGTTTCCCCTTTCTGCAACTCAAATGATCCCAATTGGCCTCAAATGGCTTTTTGTGCTCAGTTTGCTGTCCTTCGCCGCACCTCCGATGAGCACGGTTGGCTACGTACGGTGCGAAAGAAGTTCAGCAACATACGACAGATTCCGACAGCGATATGTGATTGATGATTATGACGACGGCAGTTGCGATGAGAGAACTTAAACAGCCAAACCCAGCGTCGGAGCTAAACGGGACGTGTTTCAACATCACCTGGTGGTCTAACCGCACGGCGTCACGAAGCGCCACCTCCGCCTCCTTCACCTCCCCGCGCAGCATGAACAGTCGCGCCAGCGCCGTGCAGTAGCGTCCGCTCTCCCGCCCGCCGGCACTCACCAGCTCCAGCGCCAAGGCACGCTCCGCGAGCTGGAACAGAATCAGAATATTTAACTGGAGGAATCCGATGAGCTATGAAGCTTTCTCACAGAAGTCCAGTCGGGGCACGGGATCAGAACGTTACAACAAACAAAACAAAAATACGATAGGAGTGCACGGTATAGGATAGGTAAACAAATCACTTTAAAAAATATACAAATATAAATAAACTATTTTATCTTACCAGGCAAAGCCCACTGAGCTATTAGCTTCTTTTCAGAAGCGACCTAGCCACAAATGATAGCTGAGCGAAGGCGCTTATCACGTGGAAATTTATAGCAGCAAAATAATCTAAATGCATGTTTCTAAATGCGTTTAAATTGTTTAACGGTAAGAAGAGCACAATAATCACAACGCAAAAGGTGACTTATCAACATGAGATGAACGTGAGAGTATTATTCGAAGAAATCATGATGGCATTTATAAACGGAATCACCCTGTAAATAGAAAAATAGTTATAGTTGAAAACAGTGGACGCAATCCCAACTCACTTGCCGCTTTTGTGATTGCCGACAGTACTGGGAATTTTCAGTTGTGCTGTGAATGAGCGCATTGCAGAAGGCACACGACTTTGCGTGGTGTGAAATAGCGTGGAAACCTTCCAGCTTGTAATACAAAAAAACAATTAACAGCAGAAATTGCCCGGAATGTTGGTGAAATGTTCCCGCGCTTTCGATTAGTTCAGTTGGCTACGTACGGTGGGAAAGAAGTTAAACTTACATACAGCAAAACGGAAGAATGTGATCGTAGGATTCTTCCCATCCACCATGCCTTGCATGCCACGTGTCATCACCATAACAAATACAATTTGATTGACAGGCTCCTGTCAATCCACTCCTGGATGAGGGCCTCCCCAAGTTGGTCAGTGCCGGTTGGTGAAGTGGGAGGACAGGAGAGGGGGGTGTGGGGGAAGAGACCCAGGACTGGTTCGGATATCATAATCATTGATTTTTGCTATCCAAAGCTTGGAATTAAACTGAGGTAGCAAGGTTGATACCTCAGTGGGTTAATGATTGCATTAACCACTACACCACTGCTCCCCTTCATCATCACACTGGGTGTATAATACACATGCTTTATTGTTCTGATAAGTTTTTCATCATTTATAGAGTCACAGATGTGTCTAGAATGGTGACAAAAACATTTTTTCTTTAGGAATATTGGTTTATTTTCAGTATTAAGTTCAGATTTCCAAAAATGATCCTACCGCCTCTTTATATAATTATTCATAGGTAAATATTACCATATGAATTTTAGGCAATTCACTTAAAAAAACTAAAACGACTATAATTATGAATGATTATATTATGACACTGATTACAATCATCATGTTATTAATGATGAGGATGATAATGATGATGTCGATGACGATGACAACTATGATGGTGACCACAATAATGATTGACAGCGATGATGATTTCGATTTAAAGCTTTCGTGACTGCAGAGATGCATCTTCTTTGATTCTTTCGGTAAAGTCACGTAGAATGGAAATAATAAAATAATATAAAGAAAACATAACATTATATTATTTTATTATGTTTTATTTATTTTATTTTATTATTTCCATTCTACGTGACTTTACTGAAAGAACCAAGAAAAAAAAAAGCGATGATGATATTAATGATGACAATAATGATGGCTGTAACATTAATGATGCTGAAAATGGTAACCTGGATAGCGCCAGCATCCAGGAGAAAGCAAGCTGCCTCCATAAAGATGGAGCTGGTAGAAGCCGGTGCTGGGGTGGAAGCAGAAGCCGTAGGTTTCGGAGCTCCCGCTCCTATCTCCCGCACCACTGCCACCTCCGCCAGCGCCTGCTCGCTGCCACTCGTGGTAGGAGCAGCGTGTGTGGCGCTCGACTCTCGACCGGGAGGCATGCCCACGCTGCCATCTGCTGGACGAGAGTCAGTTTTTTGAGGGCCTGTCACGGTCATTCAATTACTCAACCTGTCTACAGCGAGGTCCTCCTGCAATTTACTCTTTACTTATCTTCGTCCCGAGAACTCCCACCGCTTGTTAGGACTCATCAATATAGTAAAGCCAATATTGTTGCCTTGTGCCTCAGGGGCTTCATGTGGACAAGCCCTTCCTGTCACCACACAGTATGTCACCTTCATAAGGATTGTGAAAGTTACACGAATCAACAAACAGTGAATTGCTTCTGCGATGCAAGCTCCCCTCGTATAAAACATCGTTGGAACTGATAATTGTTTTTTTACCCTTTTATCTGGCAACAAAACTGACACCTTTTTTACAAGCAGTCATGTTTGCATAGACCACAATACCTGCAGTCGTAATGCAAACAAAAAACACAACTCTGATAATGTATGCACTGTCCTTGAAGTTGATTGGTCCACACCCGAGACAGCTTTCCTTAGAGCCTAGTCTCACATGGTGTTGGACCAGTTGACGCCAAAAGGCGCGTTGGAACTGCGGAGGAAAACGCAAGCAATCGGTGCCACCAGAATAGGGGGGTGGAATAGGGGGGGCGGCTCAAGGCCAGGCTGCTCGGCACCTGCGGCGTTGACCGGCGTGTTTCCATCAGTTGCGCTGGCCCCGCCGTTGGCTTTGTCATCGTTGAAGTCGTCTCGCCCCGCGTTTGTGCCACCGGCTGCGGTGGCCGCGGCGGTGGCTTCTTCGTCGGCTGCGCCTCCAACGCCGCTCAGCTTGGCGTTGCTGGGGTCGAGCGACGGGGTCCGCGTGAGGTGGCTGGTGGCAGAGCTGGGCCCTCGCAATGGCTCCATCGGCCCCTGCGGCTCCTCCTCTGTGCCACGGGAACATTGTTCGAGTTCATTTTTGTTTATTAAACAAGTGACATGGCGTGGCTGCGAAAAGCCACATTTTAAATGAAGTTCCTTCATTGTCTGAAGAGTCAGACCATGTCTAACTGGAGACATAATTGAGAGAAATTAATTGGGAAATGGTTGGCGTCAGGGAGGTGAGAAGAAGTAGCGTGAACTCCATACTTCAGAAAAGTGGTAACATTTTCAATCACAGAGGAAGAGTTGCCAGTAATTATGAGAGTGTGATTCTTCGTATCTCCAGAAATCAAACCTTCAGCTAAGATTGGAAAATTGCATCAGATAGAGTTGCCCAGCTAACATTGACATTCTGAAACGACTACAACAGAAGGACAATTTAAATTTGAACTCCTTCATTCACACAAGGGTCATTTATCGAAAATTTTTATATTGAAAACTAAAAAGTGTGTACCATTATTTGTCACTCGTGCAAACATTTCTCAGTGCCATCAATGTCAAATTGAGAATGTCTCACGTGGGACATTGACAGAGGTGCCCTCGAGCAGTGCAGTTTCATCGTCAGCTGGAAGCCGGCTTGACTCCTGCACATGCGGCGTCTCTCCTCTTCCTCCCATCCTCACCATCATCACAGATGCAGAACTCTGCCGCTGAGCCTCCAAGAATGCCTTATCCGCACGGATGTCATTTCCTTGTCCCTCGTAAAACAGCCCTGTTGTTGAAAGTAACATGAATATGAGGTGGCCAGGTAAATCATGAAGCTCATATCATGTCAGAGCGCTGAGAAGGCAATGCTGAGATCTTGGGTTATAATTTTTAGTTTTAGCAGTGAGTTAATGCTCCCATCCTGGTCAACAATGGCTGCACGAAACAATAACCATATTAAATTAGATTTTTCACTTGATTTGTATTATTTTAGCTCTGAGGATTAACATTGTCAAGTTTGATTGTTAAATGATAAATACTTCTTGAAGGGGATATAAAGGTGTACCTCTAGTTTAGTAGATTAAGTCTAAAGGTTTTTGTAGGGTCATGCCAAGTGTTTGCAGTAGGGGGCGATGTTGATACACGGACGGACGGACGGACGGTCGGACAGACGGACGGACGGACACATTAATCTATTGGTGGTCTGGTCCACTTCGTTCCTACCAGTATGAAGGTGTACCTCTAGTTTAGTAGATTAAGATACCTATTTTAATGACACAAATAACGTGATGACAATGAACTTCTTGGTGACGATGATAATGACGGTGACAATGATTGCAGTAATGATATCGTTGACGCCGATGATAATAATGGCGAGAAAAACTATTCCAACGATGCTGATGACGACGATGGTGGCAATGAAGATGGTCGTGACAACGCCGACTACAATGATGACAGCTGTGACAATTATATAAACAATCATGATGACAAGGCCAGGGGGAAAGTGATTGAGAATAGGGTCACCTAGACCTCGTAGCCAGCCCTGGAACCTTTTTTTTCCCAACCGCCCATCCCCTCCACCCACCGCCACCACCCACTTAACCACAAATTGTTCCCCCCTCATGTGAGCACACACCATACAGGGAGAGTCAGGATCATGTAGGTTTGGGGTTGAGGGGTTATAGTGGGATCATGATGGTGCCAGGTTGAGGGGTTATAGTGGGATTATGATGGTATGGGGTTGACGAGCCCAGAGGTCACAACCCACAGATCGTCTCCGACCGAGTGTTCTCTCGCCTGTAACCGTCGGATTTCCAATAGGTAAAATAAAAAAAATAAATGATGATAGCAATGACGATCGCGGTACGATGGTTCCTCACCGAGCATGGTCCAGGCCAGAGAGCTGCTCGCGTGAACACAGGTGGCGTTCTCAAAGAAAGTCTCCGCCTCGTCATACCCCTCATTCTTGTTGCACATCACGCCGCACATCGCTAAGCTGCCGAGACGAGACACAGGCGGAGGAGCATGCACACAGCTGCATCACTCTATTCAGTGAGCGGGCTGCCGCCAAGATTTCAACCACATCATCAGTTTGTTTATTTTATTCGGTATTTAGGTTTACTTAGTGGTATCGACAATTTTTTATTGATATTTTCCTTACCGAGTTAACACTTTGAAGCACTTTTTTTTTATGTAAACAAACGTAAGAAAACTTTTTACACCGTCTGAAAACTGTTGCCAATAATCAAAATATAACATTTCATTTTCACGTTCATACGAACACATTTATCTGAATATAAACATTTGAACAATTTCATTACTTTAAACAGACGCTATTAATACATTGCACAACTACTAACTAAACACATAAGCCGGGCTTAATTTATCACTGGTTAGACAGCAGTAGGCACTTAACTAGTAGCGACAGCCACAGTGAGTGGTATACTGGATGTGATGTGCCGGGTGCATACAGATTTTCCGCGTCGCCAACCCAGACAGACCCCAATTCGAATGAAGCTCTGCTCATGGCCATGCTATCCATGCAGTAGTCGTAATATCACGGAGCGACAATGCCTTCACATCCCACTTAAGATAAAACCAGAGCAAACTGTGAGTAAACGGAAATAACGAGCAGCATCTCATCCCACAGGCCGGAGTCCAACCTAGGCGAGCGAACCTGTCCAGGTGTCTTTGGTCGAGTGCCACGGCATCGTGGAAGCACTCCTCGGCTTTGATGGAATCACCGGAGCGCAGGCAGAACGTGCCGTAGTCAAACCAGTGGTCGGGGTTGTTCTTGTCTCGAGCCAGCCTCTGCGAGTCACGCACGCCGGAACGATTCACCTCCTCTCCCCGCTATCCGACTACCATCAAGTCTCAATTAATGAGGGTAATGGATAACTGTAAAATGTGTTTAAATTAGGCAACAAAACCGTACAAATGGCTGTCAGCACGTTGATGCAGGGTGCGGATTGACCTTTTAACAAAGCCATTTTTGTTGTTTACTTATGTAGAATGGGAGTGAAGACGTTGAATGTGTCTTCTGGTTTAATTGCTTTTTGTACGTATGTATGTTGAACCTCTTTTGCACAGTACATAGCCAACCGCGCTTCTTGAAGTAATCGTTTCACTTGCCGACGTGTTCGCGGTCCCATGAGCGATGAGTTACTGACCCTCGACAACAAAAATATTAGAGATCCATTCTTCATGCTGATTGGATGAAGGTCTCCCCATGTTAGGTCAGTCATCGAGCTGGTCAGGGCAGGTTGATGTAGTGGGGGCCCAGGATCGGTTCAGACATCACTCGTGTGCTAACCACTGCACCAAAGCTCTTCCTTACCTGGGAGAGCAAATCCTTTAACTAATTCCCAGGTAGAAACTTGACTCAGCCAGTCTTTGTTCATAAAATTAATTTCCACTTTGCGGAACGTCAGCAAAAGCGTTTGTCCTCGTGTGATCCACCGACCCTACCTTCAAAGTTGCTGGATCACACAAGCTACGCTGCCGCCGCACGCATCTCACCGAATCAGCTCACCTCTTGGTAGTACTTGGTCGCCAGCGCTGAGTCTCCGTTGAGCTCTGCTTCGCGCGCGTAATTCCGCAGTTCTACGGAGTCCGTAAGCGGCTCGGGCACAAACAATGCGGAATCGGTCGACATGACCTGCAGAGGGGATGGTCGTGTGATGGTGCGCAGAGGGTCACATGTTAGTGGCGCAGGTAGCAAGTACGCAGGCCGGTGCAACTGTACCGGATGGAGGAGCCCGGATGGCGGGCTACACAGAAGGGGGAAGCAGAAAGGGCCCCCCCCCATGCCAACCACGCAGCGTCACTGGCACACTGGTCACACGTGACGAGCAGCGCTCACACCACTGAGGTGGCCACGAGATGGGAGTACAATAATTACTTTTTTGACTGCGGAGATTTGAGTGTCACCCGCTTGTACACATGATGGGCTTTGTCGCAGCTGTGAACTATGACTCGTGTGCATTGTATGAGGAAATGGAAGGATACTGAACCTCTATTTTGTTACGTCGTATGCGTTTACACATTGGTTGTCACGGCGCTTTCATGACATAACACCGATAGCACATTTGGGATACAATTGGGGTAAAATCCTACCAAAACCAAAAAAATATATAAGATGACGATGATAATGATGTAAGTGTCGCAAGCGTGACCATGCTGCCACAGCATGCGCAGCCACACCTTGTTGAGAGAGACGTGCATCTGGTCGATGAGGAAGATGTAGAGCTCCCCTAGGAAGGCCTGCAGCTCATCTCGGTCCTCAAACGCCGTCGTCTTCAAGTACTTTTCACGAACGATATTCACCACGGCTTGCTGCACGGATGAGAACATCAGCTCACTAATTCACTCAAACTTCATTCATTTATTCACTCTTACATTCATCCAGTCAGTCCCAGCCTGAGCATGAGTGTCTCCCTGGATGAAAAAATACTGTCGGCATAATTTATCCTCTGGTAATAACCTTGTCATTTGTTGTCGTTTTATTATCTGCTATGTGATTCATACACGTGTGAGCGGTGGGGTGGTGGTTAGTACACCTTCGCTACGAATCTGCCGACATGAGTTTGATTTCCGGCCATGGCTAACATTAGTGGTGACTATCTGAACCAGTCTTGGGCCTCCCCTTGGTCGACTTAGCCTCAAATGATTACCTTGCTTGGTTTGTAAACATCAGAACTGGGGGAACAAAAGGCAAGTGGGCATGGTGCTGGCCACACCACCACCTCGTACACCCTACTGGCCTTAATATAAGTTCTCACTAACAACACTTGCCCCAACAGTCTATTATAGTGATACGAGGGATCCATGCCCTTGTCTTGGCGATTACACGAATGCTTCATAATGCATCCGTAAACCATTTCACTTGATAAACAAAAGGCTGCTATGCCCATACCCATTGCCACTAGTTACAAACAACAAACACACATCCACATGTACGCAAAAGTGGAAAAACGACGATATTACACGGTAACCCTTCCTCACCTTGAGCTGCTCCTTGAAGGCGAAGTACTTTCCCGAAGAGTTGAGCTCGTACAGGAGACGGCGCTTACGCTTCTCCTGCCCCTCGGGATCATCCTGCGGCCCCTCGACCCCACTCCACTCGGGGAACATCGCGCGGAACTCATCAAGCACCATCGATGCCACCTTCGCCACCTGGTCGTGATAGTCGCTCACCGCCTGCGGGCAGCAGAGCGGACGCCAGAACCGAAGTCATGTCCACAGTTCATCGCCACCTTTACCCGTGTCTCTGGTTTTGAATTGGCAACGGGTGCATCGAAGTTGCCGTTGCTGCTGCTTTAGCACCTGCTGCGCACTGGCAATCCTGCGAGGCATCGGTGGTCTTGGCGGAATGAGATCTGCCACCCTGCGGTGAGACACGAGACGACGGTCGCACTTTACACGTGTGGTTTGACGTTGATTGTACATCACAATTGTTTTAGTTGTCTATTTAAGGGTTCCTGTAAGCAGGTTACTGCTATGCCTGAGAAGCATCAAGTCCATCTCTCTGTTTGAGGACCCTATATATGTTTTCATGAAAACGGCAAAGTCCCAAAACCAATCACTCATAAACTTAGAACAACCTTTCCACAAACCAAACCCAGACATATTTCTCAGTCAGCCTAGGTCTATCTGAACTGTGTGGTATACTGCAATAAGGTTCGACACAATTAGCACTAATCTTGGTACAAGTACATTCCATACACCAAAACACAGATACCAATTCCCAGATGTCAAATCCCAGACGGTCTGGGTCAAACGTGCAAGTCAAACCCAGACAGGTGTCAACCATAATACATACAAAGACCTCCCGTATAGCCTTAACATACTGTTGGGGCAAGTGTTGTTAGAGAGCACATATGACGACCAGCACGGCGATGATTAGACACCGCACTAGATACTAATTTGAGGCTGAGTCAACCTAGGGAAGGCCCAAGACCGGTACGGATAATTGTCACTGGTGTTGGCCTTGAGCGGGTATCAAACTCGGGTTGCTGGGTTCGTAGCGCAGCGCGCTAACCCCTACACTACCACTCCCCCATACAGTAATAAGTACAGTATAATACAGTACATACAGTATATATACACACACACACAGACTCACCTCTTAGCCAGCTCCTCTGGCTTCCTCTTAGGAACGAGTGGTTTCTCCAGACAGAACTCGAGCACAATGTAAGTTTGAGCCTCCAGGTATTGCTATAGACAGATATGGTGTGCGTGAGAATCAAGATCAAAACCAACGATTCTGCCACTATTTTGGTAAAACAGGCCCTAGCTGTTGTATTTATTATCAATCAAACAAAAATTATGAATTTAACAAGATATACACGAGCAACTGCAATGTGATTATACATGTAAAATTTGAAGCAATGTAGTGTCACTAATTATTATCGTCAACAATGATAATTAACTGCCATTCCCCTCCTAGGCGAAGACCTACCCACGCCGTGACTGTCATCTTGGTTGCGTCACCATACTTCACCATGCTAGACAGTGCAGGTTATGTATGTTGAACTTATTTTGCGTAGCCAACCGCGCTAATCAGAGGTGCGGGGGATGAACAACAAACTAAATACAAACAGCAGTTTTAAAGAAATTAGTTTTTAATCTAGATTTAAAAGTGCATAGTTGCAGTGGCTTCCTAATATCGGAAGGAAGAGCGTTCCAGACGGCCGCAGAAGAGCATCCGAAAGCGTGTGATGCGGTGACCGTCTTCGTTTGATGGCGAGCCAAAATCCTTGATTGCTGTGTTATTTAGAAAGGATGTACAAGGACAGTGCATACCTGTGACTCTGCGTTCTGAATGATGCTTGACTCAGACTCGTTGTCGACCACATGCTTAACTGTTGAACTCTAAGAAAATAATTATTAGCATTTTGTTAGAACCAGCAATTTGAAATGAATAAGATCAGATGTTAATTTATACCAATAACACAATGCTTATGCATGACTCATGCAGTGGTGGACATTGTACATTCATATGGCTGGGACTCATGCAACACACCCACCACTCTACACTTGCCGATATCAAGTAAAGTAGCTTCACCAAGTGGTTCTCATGTTAGTAACCCTGATAAATGATGACGAAGATGATCATGATGACAATGACGATTAATTATTTAGTAGACCTTGACTCGATATCTAATTCATATGATAGTGTGGGTATAAGTTCTACATAACTGTAATTTATCATTGAACTTGTGACGTCATTAAAATATATAACTATGGGGACCTCATTTGCCAGTAAAAATATGATAATTGGTTCTTTACCCTTCTATCTGGCAACAAAACTGACACCTTTTTTTACCAGGAGTCATGTTTGGTAAAAAAGGTGTCAGTTTTGTTGCCACATAGAAGGGTAAAGAACCAATTATCATAAAATATATAAGTTTACAGCCATTTGTCATTCGTTTGCTGAAGGCTTCCCCATGCCATGCTGGTGAGTGCAGGTTGGTGAAGGGGGGCCTGGGACCCAATTAATATTACTCATCACTGATATGAGCCAAAGCCAAGAATTGAATTCAGGTCACCCTGTTCAAGGCAGTGTCATAACAACTCACCCTACAGCCAATGCAGTCTGAATTTTCTCGTGAATATAATAGTTCTGGCCGCACATATTTTAACCCAGAATCTCAGCAGCGCTAGCTGTGTCAAGACATGACCATTACTGGCCACCGCCAATGGGCACCTTTTTGATGGTCTCCTTTCCCAGGCGACTCGGCGCTGGCTTGGGGTGCGGGGAAGCGATACTGCCGGGCCCTGTGCCCCTCCCGATGCTGCACACCAGCCGTGCGGCCTCGCGCACCACGAACCCAGTCCGCTTGGTCTGCGCACGAGCGACCCCAACGCAACAGAGGCAATGATCATTGTGACAAGACCATGGACCATGTGACTCCACAATGCCCCGAAGGCAAAAATTATGGTGGTGTATCAGCAATTCAGCACCTCTCAGATAGTGTAATTTAATAGCTAAATCACTTAGAACTAAATCTATTATAGTTGCTCTTCAGTGGCCATACAAAGTCATAATTTTATTTTATACTCTTAGTTCTTTCGGTAAAGTCACGTAGGTAAAAAATGAAATAAAAATTAATAAAAATTAATAAAAAAATAATAAAAACAATAAAATCACGACGTTTCGGAGGTAACACAAGCTTCCGTCATCAGGGCATCAGGTGATGACGGAAGCTTGTGTTGCCCCCGAAACGTCGTGATTTTATTGTTTTTGTTATTTTTTATTAATTTTTATTAATTTCATTTTTTACCTACGTGACTTTACCGAAAGAACTAAGAGTATGAATCCTTGCAGTCACGAAAGCTTCAAATCTAGAATTTTATTTTAGTTTTGTCTTCTTGCCTAATTTTATCCTGACTGAGCTATCGGTGACATGTCGTGAGATGAAGGATGCATTTGAGTTTATTGTAAAAGTGCGATTCTTTATGTTAGTGAAAGGCCCATGGAGGCGAATATCACAGAGGTACCTCTGAAATCTCTTAAAGTGACCTCTTATCCACACAAGAGGATAGCACTTTCCCGACCTCTGTTCCACTATGTGTAATGTTTGTTGCATGAGAGTAAAACCAATATTTTTCATTCTCAGACCTGAAAGTGAACCAAATTAAGTGCAGAACAAAATTGTATTAGATATTTTGTCACAAATAATTGTTGACCGGGCTGAGACCATCACCTCACTAAACTTGACAACCCAGTTTAGTCGACAGACGGTTGCCTGGATTCGAACCCAGGGTCAGAGATACCGTTGCATTGTTCATCGTAGCAGTAAGTGCCGGGCACCCGGCAGAGTGAAACCTTTTCGAGCATCTCGACGTCGCTGTAGGGGTGCACTCGGTAGGCACCGCGCACCACCGTGGCACCGGGGTAGAGCAGCGGGGCCAGGTTAACGTAGGCGACGCCGTGAAAGCCTATTTGAGAGTCCTCGTCAACCTGAATGAAGCCACGGCGCATACAAAATATTTCAGTCCTTTTTTATGTTTTCCAACTAAGGTTGCAAGCAATAATGCATGAGCTCTGTCCATATCTGTATACAGCGGGGGTCATTATAACTTTCTTAAAGATTATCCAATATGAAAATAATCTTAGTATTATGTCGTGCTGCTAAAAGGAACTTACTCTCTAGAAAACAGGGGCTAATTTGGTGAGAAAAACCAGCGCTGAATAGAGAAGCCCTCGCGGCCATGGTGATAGTATCACATACCGTGCACGTGCCTCGCCTCGTCATCACATCATTACGTGTGACGTCATCTCGTGGCATCACACATCATGCGCCACGTGATATCGTGTCGTTGTGCTGTTTGGAATGTAATGTTACCATCGCCAATTAAACACTTCTAAGGATAAACGCATGCTGGAAAGTGCTACAGACCCGTGCGTAGACACAACACGTTACAAACCTTTTCACTCTTGCTCCTTCCTCCTTTTGCAGCCATGGGGATTTGGATTTTGGCAACCTCCACAGGCCAGAACCGGCTCTCGGCTATCTTTTTCTGAAAGCTGCACAGGAATAAGAGAATATCGCATTCCACATACATCTATAGTAATCGTTTACAATTTTGTTAATCCACTGCTGGATGAAGGCCTTCCCATACGCCGTGTTGGTCATAAGGGTTGTTTGGTAATACTTCATCACGTTAGTCATTGTTCATTGGTGAAGGGGGGCCCAGGACTGGTTCAAATATCACTCGTTATCAATGTTAGCCATGGCCAGGAAAACAACTCAGGTTGCTGGGTTTGTAGCACGGTGAACTAACCCCTGCACCACCACTCCACCATGGTCTCTACCATAAGATGATTCTATTCGCCTGGCTACTGCCTTGAGTTTTACTCACGTGGCCACAGCTCCTGGATCCATGTAGCAGCGCCTCTCCATGTCCCAGGTCACGCGAGTTTTCTCATTCTCTGCCTCCATGCGGAAATCCCAGTCCTGACCAACACAAACAGCAAAGCAATCCACTGCTGGATGAAGGCCTTCCTGTCCAACCAGTGGAGCAGACAGCTGCCACTGTATCCACAATTAGTGTCTCATTGGTGATATACCCCCACTGCCCCTGCTGCCACTGGGACTCGGTACCTGGTTCTGCCATAGCTTCCCCAGTTGTCCTTGAGAATTGATGCTGTTGGTGCCAGAACCCGGTTGCTTTGCTCTGATCCATCCCCCCCCCCCCCCACTCACCCATAACCCTTTCCACTCTATTGCAGTTTTTTTTTTTAAACCAATGTGAGATGCAGTTTCATTCAAATGCTACATACATTGAAACTGCCTTTGTTGAAGGTCGCGACCCCCCTCGCACTCCCGACCCCACTACCGCCCGGTCACCTCCTTGTGCGCGAGCTCCCCGTCCTCCTCCTCATAGGCGCTGGGCCGCATGATGGCACCCGGGATGCAAGGGAGGCCGCCGACAGGCACTTGGGCTAAAGGCCACCGCTTTGGCCGGGCAGATGCTTCCTTCTCAGCGGCCGGCCGTAACGCTCCGTTGGCGAACACGTTCACGTGCTCTTTCTGGATGAAACACATAGGGGCGACGCACGAAGTCGACACGTCACATATACTGTTATGAGATACTTTGTGCTCTCAGCGTCGTCAGCCATACGCACATTCGTAGACTATGCAGAGTTAATGACTGCGTGGATACTGCTAAGTGTGAGGGACAAGTACTGAATGTATCTTGTTTAAATATCAACTGAGGCATTATGGACTTCAGCGCTATGTTGAGGGCAGCGCAGCAATATTCATTGCTGTACCGTACTTCTATGCTCCCCCGTCTATGCTTACTGCCTTCACCAACCCGCACTGACAAGCGTGATGAAGTATAGTTAAATCACCTCCACGACCGTATGGTCTCCAGCAATGGATTGACAAATGAAATTATACAAGCATATAAAACTGCCTCTCATTATCATCGATGTTATCGTCAACGTAAGGCAGACCTCAGCAGAAATGGGCACAGGCAGGCTGGCCGTGTAGTTGCACATGGGTCCCACAGAGGCCCACGTGGCCGGAACCCCGTAGGCCGACTCCACCGTTATCCGGAGCAGGTTGCTCTCGGCTAAGCGCTCGGCCGACAGCAAAGGCTCTGGAGCTGAGACGGAGACCTCCAGGCTGGGCTGCTCACAGTACCAACAGCACACGAGAAAACGCATAAATTAATTGTGATTTTGATTCGTGCATTTTAACTTGTGAAATAAAAGCTGCAAAGTACACGGTGAAGCATGGGGAGCTATGTGCTTGAAATGACACTGAGAGGCATGGATTAGAGAACGCACACCAGTTAAATACATCATATCGACTGTTATTAAAAGTAAGCGGACTCGGGCAGGACACGTCTTTCGCAGGAATGATGGCCTATTGTTAAAACAATGACGGAGTGACAGCCAATTGGGGGACACACCCGAGATGGCTTCCACTGTGGAGATGGTACGATGGAAGCAGCTAATGTGCAGGTGCTAGATGGATTGTTGCAATGCAAGGACACGAGTAACAACTTGGGAAAGCCTTCATCTAGTCGTGAATAGATCATGGCTAATGATGATGAACTTGTGAAACTATTTAACAATGATGACAACTCTCTCTCAACATAATGGCCTGTATTTAAAACTTTGTCCGAGTTAATTCGATAGAAAGGAACTGTTTTCATCAAAATAATAAGTTACTTTTTTATAAGTTAAGAATCAGATTCACAGCTTGACGATGGGGCATCTTTTGGGTGAATTTACCACACTGTTGGTGATGGAACCAAGGTTAACGTTTTGCCAGAATTCAGATAAAAAGGAATATTCACCAACATGCAAATCAAACTCGATATCACAGCTAAGCAAAATGATGTGAGTTGGCAAAAAAAATAGAAAAACATTTAACAATACAAAATGTAAATAATTTGATTCAGACTCATCGACTCAACAACAGTAATGTCATTTAGACATTTGTTGTGGTTTGTTATGGTTCAGTAATTGTTGGATTTACCAAGTCTGCTTCAGATGAGACATTCTCCAAAGATGACCCAGCCACTGGGTAGACCTTCACGGTTGCGCTGTACTTGGTTTGACCTAATCGAGACATGACGCAAGAACATTAATAAGCATGCACACCGTCTCTGTGGTGTCTTGAGATTTGGCCGCATTCTAGACGCGATGTAATTATTTTGGTATCATAACCGTAATAAAAAAAAACGTACTACAGTATTCAGTTTTCATTTAAATCACCTTATAAATTCCCTTACTGTTTTTATAGAAGTCATATCACTATAAAGATTTCGACTTTTTTTAACTATACTTGGGCCACTTAACTTAGAAAGGTAAAGTAATGTAGTACTTGAATTGAACCCTAAGAATTAGTGAAAATCCGAAGTGACAGGTCCAGGCTCTTACCTTGCACAAGCGGTAAGAGGTCCACTGTGGCCTGACCTAGCACCACAGTCTTATCTTCTTTCTGCTTCTTCTCTTTAGGGAGCACTTCAATCACCATCACTGCAAGGCAATGGAAATAATGTATTGTGTTCTTATTGTTAGATTTGGAATTTAAATACATTGTGAATATAACGGTGGTGATGATGACACTGTAGCGGAGCAGAAGCGAAATGGTTATTGTATTTCGATATGGAAACAGCTGATATCAGTGGTAAGTGATATCTGAACTGGTATTGGACCACCTCTTCCCCAACCTGCGATGACCAGCGTAATAAAACAACGGTAGAACCGCCCTGACAATCAAAGCCTGGGGTGGCTTTCATCCAGCAATGGAATGACAAAGAGCTGTCAATATTAATATCGTAAATATTTTAATCCACTGCTGGATGAACACTTCCACATAACGTGTTTAGTGCTCTTCATTTCTGGCTGCTTTCTGTAACAGGAGTTTAGGCCTCTGCTTAATAATGACTGTGAGATTAAGTGACTTACGCAGCACTGGCTTGTGAGCCACGTCGTCCAGACCAGTGGCGCCATCGGACGGGCAGTCAAACGTGGTGCTGAAGTCGTACTCCGCGGAGCTGTCGGAAGTGCTCGGCACACGCGCCGACTCCCCCAGCATGGCAGCACCGTACTCGGCTCGCACGAGTGACACCATCACGTCGCCTCTGCTGCCGCGCTGCTCTCACCGTCAACGCGTATGCGGAACAGAGAAGGACACATGCAGTTATGAGTGTTGGAAAGTAGGCAGGCTGCTCACCTTGTGTGCAGTCATAAATGTAGAGCGGCCGAGTGGCTCAGGGGTCACAGTACTGACCTGAGCTAGCAACCACTGAAATCCTGGGGTTGAATACAGGAAGTCATCTGTGATTAAACTGGGATCTGTACTTAAATTGGCTAATTCTTAGCTTTGTGAATCAAAAATATGAGTTTGATTGTCAAGCGATTGTTACTATATGCAGCAGGATAGATGGGCCTGTGCTACCCCCTACTCTTTAGAGCAGAGTCACTTGAAGAGATCAGAAGTGGTTTTGTGATATCCACTTCCACGTGCCATTCTCTATCACAAAGGATTACATTGCTCTGCCAGAGGATCCAAATGGATCATTCGTCTCAAGACATGACACTGATAGCACTACAGGCATAAAATTCATCTTGAGATGTGGTCACAATTAGAGGCTACATTAATCTAAATTGTACCGTTCGCAGATTACTACAGAAGTTATAAACTTGAGGTTTGCTTTACTACTGCCTAGGAAGGCCATTTCGTGATGCAGGAATCCAACACCTAAGCATCCCATCCCCATTACTGTGATGATGATATATCCTCATATGGGTCATGCTGTATACAGCAGGCAGCTTACCAAGTTGATACCACGCTCCACTCTTACGTGAACAGGTACGGCTCGGAGCAACTTTTGCTCAACTTCGGACGCCTCCATCTGTCGGTAAAAAGACTGTTGTTAAAGCCAACCATATGTGTCCATGAAAAGAACTACAGAGTATACAATAATATATTAATTGTATAGTGTTTATATACAGAAAGTCATCGTGCCCTCTTGTCTCAATGAGCATTGGCCCGCGTTCCTCTCTAGAGGTGGTCCAAAGCCAGTGGTGGAATTTCTATATTCTACTTATACAAAAAATTATTCTGCACAACACAACAACTGTTTACTTACTGGACTTCCAATCAGGTGGTGCGGCATCACATAGTGTTGCTTATTTCAATCACACGTGATGATGATAATGCTGAAGAGTATGATGTTGGTGATGATAGAGTTGACCCTCATCAGGATTTGAACTGGCGACCTCACAAGTGGCAGCTCTGTTGCGCTGTGCCAACTGAGAGTTTTCCCAGCCGCGACAGTATACATAGATTACCTTGTATAGAAACAAATTTAACTTCAAACCCAGTACAGAATACACAGGTTTACGTAAATAATTAGAGTGTTTCAACAACTCAAGAGAAGGTGGTGCAAAATGTAAGCTGTGTACCCAACCTCCCCAACTCAAAATAAACAAGCACATAAAAGTTATAAAGGTTGCTCTGAACATTTGCTAAATTCCTGGACCACGATAGACAAAACATGTCGGATCTGTGATCTCAAACCTATAATACAGTACAGTAAGTAGAAGATCCAGGGGGTGTACTGGAAGAGCGCAATGCTCTATGAACCCGGCGACCTGAGTTGAATTCCTGGCCATGGCTAACATCGCTGGTGATACCTAAAGTAGTCCTGGGTCCTTCCACGTCAACTAGTAAATCACCAGCATTGCGAAGTATGGTCATCCAACAAGGAAAGCACACGAAAAAAGAATGCATAAAGAGAAGTGGCACACATAGACCAGGGAACACATGGGATTTGGAGACATCACGTTCACTGTTTAGAAAAGTAAATAGGCCTGGGTAGGACATATTGCAAGGAGAGAAGATGGCTACGGCTCATGGACGAGACCGGTGATTTAATTGCAGCCAAAGGAAAGGAGATAACGTGCCTGAAAGGATGACCACCATGGAGATGAAACAATGAAATCAGTTCGTGTGCAGTAATGGCGATGCCTTAATTCAGCAGTGAATAGACCCTGGCTGATGATGTTTATAATCATCAGATGTGGAGGCCTTCATTCAACAGTGGATAAACCATGGCCCATGATGATGGGTCAAAATGACACGACAGTCCACTGTTACACAACCTTTCAATGTACAGTTCAGCAATGTTATCATATTTCCACGTATATTAAAGTAAAACACAGTGCAATGGATTTTGCACCACTGCCTTCTGTTGCCCTAATACGTAGCGCAGCCACGGAATGCCTATAGCACCTGTTATGCATGGTGGTCACCAACACAAGCACGGTCCAGGCTTTAAGCCCTGCTCAGCTTCCTAGACTCGATCAAAATTACAGCCATTCCCAATGCAAGCCACCATGTCGGTTATGAAGTGGGGGGGAGGGGAGTTGACCATACTTCACCACGCTGGTCAATGTGGGTTGAAGGTGAGGTCCGGTTCAGAGATGATTTGCCACTGATGTTAGCCGGGAATCAATAGCTGTGGTCATAGCGCAGCGCGTTAATACACTCTTGTATATAACACCATCGTATATCAGACACAGACAGCATAAACAACGAGTATAATACAAGTGAGACGTTACAGACTAACAACAATAATACTACAATCTTCTTGGTTCTTTCGGTAAAGTCACGTGGAATGGAAATAATAAAATAAAAAATATGAAACATAATAAATTACTAATATTATATAATAATATAATATATTATTTCCATTCTACGTGACTTTACCGAAAGAACCAAGAAGATGAATCCCTGCAGTCACGAAAGCTTTAAATCTAAATATTACAATCACCACCACCACCACAATCTAGTGGTTTGTCAGTCCTTCTTCGCTGTTTCTAAAGACACCCCCAGCGCGATTCGTGAGCGCTATCAATGCAGAGCAGTACTTACCGCAGCAAATTAAAGGTGATGTCCAACTTTGTCAGTCAGTTTCTAGCGAATTTGGCTTCGTTTTTGGTTCGAACGCGGCGGGCTTTGACCACTCAACTAGGCCGGCGTCGCCGTTGCCGTGGCAACGGTGACAGCAGCCACGACCACCCCCTGCCCCAGTGGGCCCTCTGGTGGTGGCTTTGGCTTCACCCTATCTCAATTTTCAATTGTCAAATATCGCAAAACATTTGTTTTTCAAGTTAAAGTTCATTTATTTGGTATAGTCCCGTGAGCCATTCGGCTCTTGAATCGGGTGCAACCGCAACAAACAAAAAAACAAAAACAAAAAACATCTTAAAGTGAATATGTGACTAAGTGCAAACAGAAAATCCAAGAAAAGACAGCAAAATATTGCAGAAAAAAACACCGTACACCAACGCTGCTGGGTCGTTTGGCAGGTTGGAGCAACGAGCAGAAAATATCACCGGGCGAAAGGCACCTTTCGAAGCGTAAATTATGATGCTGGATGCAATTACCAGCGAAACGTCATACTCAAAAATTGTAAATGTTGTGGTTTCACGCTTCAACACACCGGTGGGCTAAAGCAGTGAACTATTTGTCTTTTGTCAACGTGACACTTTTTTGCTGATTGGCCGTGTCGGGTGGTGGAGGGTTACGACACATTTATAAATAACGCGATCTAACCCAAAAACATTGATTATGCATAAATTATGGTTAAAATGTACGTTGGTTCTCGAGTTAAAAGTGTAATTATGAATATTTGTCACAATTTTAGTGGCATTAGTTATTGTTATTGTGCTTTTTTGACGCAGAAAAGCACAATAACAATAACTCGTGAATCTTCATCAAAAGTGGTCCTGCCAAGTGTTCGCAGAAGGGGGCGATGTTGCTATGTAGATTCCAATCGAGTAAGTTGCAGGAATTTTTCAAAAATTTGGACCGTGACACCGGCACACAATGAATGACCTCACAGGTTCTTAAATCTCCACTGAAGCAAGGCGGCCTGCCGGGTTCGTATTGATTCCATATTCAGACAATGGGGTGGGACCCAGCCCACGTGTTTTAAGTGATTTGCTGTTGTTCTTTGGGTCGAGATTTGGCTAAGGGCTCAATTAAGCCGGTTTAAATTGAAGTTAACCACGAAAAGGCTGTGGCCAAATGACCCCTCGTCACGTATCGGAAGCTAAGCAGGTGTTGGGTCTGGATAGACCTCGGATAGGCTGTCAACCCCATTGTTGTAGTGTATTGTGCTCCCCTCCGTCTTTACCAACACACACTGAGCAGCCTTATTGAAAGTTTGATTAAAATAACCCCACAACAACCACGGCGTGCGGTTATGGGCCACGAGAGGTAGTTATAAAACATTTTTTTATCCTCACCGCAAGTTTACATAGCGAGAAGATGGGATGGGGAGGGCGGGCAGAACATGTTTGTTGATAAATGACCCAGCTCATAAACAAGGGATACGACGCAACGGACCCATGGATACACAATAGACGCGTGTGTACGTGAGGAGCGGTGGCGAAGTGGTTAGCGCACCGAGCTACTAGGATCCATGCGATCCTGGATTTGATCTCCTGCCATGGATATCAATAAAACTAACGTCAACGCAAGCCTCAACACTCGCCCTCACCAGCCACATCACTAACCATAACGTGAATGTTAATATTAGCCTTGACACTAACCCTAATAATAGGGGTTTTCCCCTTTTTTCTGGCAACAAAACTGACACCTTTTGCAAGGAATCATGCTTACATTAACCACAATACTTGGCGTCATCTGGTCGAACACCATATGAGACCAGGCTCTAAAGAAAGCTGTCTCTGGTGTGGACCAATCAGTTTCAAAGACAATGCATACATTATCAGAGTATTAAATTTCGATTTAAAGCTTTCGTGACTGCAGGGATTCATCTTCTTGGTTCTTTCGGTAAAGTCAGAGTATTGTTTTTTGTTTGCATTTGACTGCAAGTATTGTGGTTAATGTAAGCACTGATTCCTTGCGAAAGGTGTCAGTTTTGTTGCCAGAAAAAATGGGAAAACTCCATATTAGTATATTTTGGTACTGGCAAAGGAGGTACTCATGAACTAACCCTACTGTTGTTAGACCTGACCCTGATCTGGCTACCCGAATTCGACCTACTCCCGGCCGCCGGTATGAATACCATCTTTAAATTAAGATAAATAACAGTGGCAAGTGGCGTGTGAATCTCTGACAAATGGGGAGACAAAGGCGGCCGGGAGTGTCACATGCGCCCCCCACACCCCTTCGTTTGCTGTGCTGGCCTTAATAGGTGCCCGCTAACAACAACTTCACCCCAGCAACAGTCCATACACACAGCTAATAAATGGGAAGTTGGAGAGAGAGAGAGAGGGGGGTGGTGGTGGTGGTGGGTGTCGTTTGCTTTGTGTTTATGTGCGAGTTTGTGGGTGCTAAAGAGAGGGCAGTGGCGTCATGGGCCACTGGCTCGCACGACGCACCCCATGATGACACCACAGCAAGACAAACACCCCCCGTGTAGCCTCAAAGAGGCTCTTGCGAGCGCCTATGAAGGCCGGCAATGTGGCACATGAAGGGGGTGGGAGGTCAACACCCACGCCCGGCCGCCTTTGTCTCCCCGTCCGCTGGCGTTTATTTGAGGCCGAGTCGACCTAGGGGAGGGCGCAGAGGAGCGGGTCAAATGCGCTGTGAGCGGCGGATTTCGAAGGGTGAGCGCAGTGCGATGACCACTGCGCCACCGCTCCCCCACACAAAGACAAAGATCCCCCGTATAGCCTTAACATACTTGCGGGGCAAGTGCTGTTAGCAAGTAACACGTGAAGGCCGATACAGCACGCTCCACACACACACAACGTACACACGTACACACACACACAACACGTACACACACACACAACACGTACACACAACACACAACACGTACACACACACACAACACGTACACACAACACGTACACACACAACACGTACACACAACACACGTACACACACACAACACGTACACACAACACGTACACACACAACACGTACACACAACACGTACACACACACACAACACGTACACACACAACACGTACACACACAACACGTACACAACAGGTACACACACAACAATCGTACACAACACGTACACACAACACGTACACACACAACACGTACACACACAACATACACACACACAAGATACACACACACACAACACGTACACACACACAAAACGTACGCACACAACACGTACGCACAAAACACGTCCACACACACACGTACACAAACACTACACAGCCTACACAACACTTACAAACAACACGTCACACCACACACGTACACCAACACGGTACACACCACCCTTCCTTCCCACTTGCGCTAAGGATTGCCCCACAACACTCGTTCTGGCGACACATCTATTACCCAGCATCATCACCACACATCATCACCACCAAATCATCCCCCATCAGCATCACCATCATCACCACCACCAACATCATCATCACCATCATCCACCACCATCATCATCATCACCACCATAACCACCACCATCCATCATCATCACCGACCATCACCCCACCATCATCACCACCATCACCACCACCACCACCATCATCACCACCATCATCATCACCACCATCATCATCACCACCATCATCATCACCACCATCATCATCACCACCATCACCACCACCACCATCATCATCACCACCACCACCATCATCATCACCACCATCATCATCATCACCACCACCACCATCATCACCACCATCATCATCACCACCATAATCATCATCACCACCATCATCACCACTACCACCATCATCACCACCATCATCATCACCACCATCATCACCACCACCATCATCATCACCACCATCATCATCACCACCACCATCATCATCATCACCACCATCATCATCACCATCATCATCATCACCATCACCACCATCATCACCACCATCATCATCACCACCATCATCATCACCACCACCATCATCACTCACCATCATCATCACACATCATCACCATCATCACCATCACCACCATCATCACCACCATCATCATCACCACCATCATCATCACCACCACCATCATCATCACCACCATCATCATCACCACCATCATCACCACCACCATCATCACCACCATCATCATCACCACCATCATCATCACCACCATCATCACCACCATCATCACCACCACCATCATCACCACCATCATCATCACCACCATCATCACCACCACCATCATCACCACCATCATCATCACCACCATCATCACCACCATCATCATCACCACCACCACCATCACCACCACCACCATCATCATCACCATCATCATCACCACCATCATCACCACCATCATCATCACCACCATCACCACCATCATCACCACCATCATCATCATCACCACCATCATCACCACCATCATCATCACCACCATCATCATCACCATCATCATCATCACCACCACCACCATCACCACCACCACCATCATCATCACCACCATCATCATCATCACCACCATCATCATCACCACCATCATCATCACCACCATCATCATCACCACCATCATCATCACCATCATCATCATCACCACCATCATCACCACCATCATCATCATCACCACCACCATCACCACCATCATCATCACCAACATCATCACCACCATCATCATCATCATCACCACCATCATCATCACCACCATCACTACCACCATCATCATCACCACCATCATCATCATCACCACCATCATCATCACCACCATCATCATCACCACCATCATCATCACCACCATCATCATCACCACCATCATCATCACCACCACCATCATCACCACCACCACCATCATCATCACCACCACCATCACCACCACCACCACAAACTCCATCCCCTCCGCCTGCTGCTGTACACAAACCACCGCTCCTCCCCCCACCACCACCTCCTCCTCACTCCACGCTTACTCAGCGAAGGAAATCGCTTTTAAAGCGACGAGAGAGGCGAGGGGAGGAGGAGGAGGGGGTTGAGTGAGAGAGAGAGGAGTGGAATGTGACGCGAGGTTGGTGTTGGTGGTGTTGGGTGAGGCGGTTTGTCACGAGACTCCGTGTTGTTGTCCTTGTTAACGTTGAGGCGAAAGCAAACAGCCTCCTCCTCCATCTCCTCCATCGCTTCTTCCTCCACATCCACCTCCTCTTCCTCCATCTCCTCCACCTCTTCCTCCTCCATCTCCTCCACCTCCTCCTCTTCTTCCTCCACCTCCTCTTCCTCCATCTCCTCCTCTTCCTCCACATCCTCCTCCACCTCCTCCTCCATCTCCACCTCCTCCACCACCTCTTCATCCTCCTCCTCCTCTTGCACCACCTCCTCCACCTCCTCTTCCTCCATCTCCTCCTCCACATCTTCTCCCTCCTCCATCTCCTTCTACTCCTCCTCTTCCTCCACATCCTCCACCTCCTCCACCACCTCTTCATCCTCCTCCACCTCCTCTTGCACCACCTCCTCCTCTTGCACCACCTCCACCACCTCCTCCTCCCCTCCTCCCCTCCTCTTCCTCCCCCTCCTCTTCCTCCATCTCCTCCTCCACATCTTCTCCCTCCTCCCCATCTCCTCCTACTCCTCCTCCTCCATCAAGAGCAGTTGACGACAAACGCCAGAGTGGCCGGGGCTGAAACCCGCGACTCGTTCATTGGATTTGTTCATAAGTTGTTTGTTGTTGTTATTGTTGTTGCTGCTGCTGCTGGTGGTGGTGCTGATGGTGGTGGTGATGGTGATGGGTCGCTACTAACAGACAGGGGGTTTGATGAAAGACTTCCCCGTGTCGTGGAGAAGATCGCCGAGATGGATCTAAGCGCCATGAACCTGATGGCTCAAATCGAAGAAGACCTGCAGGAGTTTGGTATCGAGAAGAACGTGCGCCCGTGTCTCAAGGTACACACACCTCGTGTGCACACACGTGTGTGTGTACGTACCAGTTTGTGTGTGTGTTACATATTGTGTGTCTACGTGTGTGTGTACGTACCAGGTTTGTGTGTGTTACATCTTGTGTGTCTACGTGTGTGTACGTGTCTTTGTGTGTAACATACCTCGTGTGCACACGTGTGTGTGTGTACGTACCTTTGTGTGTCTACGTGTGTGTACCAGTTTGTGTGTGTGTGTAACATACCTCGTGTGTGTACGTATCTTTGTGTGTCTACGTGTGTGTACCAGTTTGCGTGTGTGTAACATACCTCGTGTGTGTACGTATCTTTGTGTGTGTGTTACATCTTGTGTGTCTACGTGTGTGTAGGTATCTTTGTGTGCGTGTGTTACATCTTGTGTCTACGTGTGTGTACGTGTCTGTGTGTACGTACCAGTTTGTGTGTGTGTTACTATCTTGTGTCTACGTGTGTGTACGTATCTTTGTGTGTGTGTTACATATTGTGTGTCTACGTGTGTGTACGTGTCTTTGTGTGTAACACACCTTGTGTGTCTACGTACCTTTGTGTGTGTTACATACCTCGTGTGTCTACGTGTGTGTAGGTATCTTTGTGTGTGTGTTACATCTTGTGTCTACGTGTGTGTACGTGTCTGTGTGTACGTACCAGTTTGTGTGTGTGTTACATCTTGTGTCTACGTGTGTGTACGTGTCTGTGTGTACGTACCTTTGTGTGTGTGTTACATATTGTGTGTCTACGTGTGTGTGTACGTACCAGTTTGTGTGTGTGTTACATATTGTGTGTCTACGCGTGTGTGTACGTATCTTTGTGTGTGTTACATCTTGTGTGTCTACGTGTGTGTGTACGTACCAGTTTGTGTGTGTGTTACATCTTGTGTCTACGTGTGTGTACGTGTCTGTATGCACGTACCTTTGTGTGTGTGTTACATCTTGTGTGTCTACGTGTGTGTACGTACCTTTGTGTGTGTTACATCTTGTGTGTCTACGTGTGTGTGTGTACGTACCAGTTTGTGTGTAACATACCTCGTGTGTATAGTGCCTGTGTATGTACCAGTTTGTGTGTGTGTAACATACCTTGTGTGTCTACCTAACCTTTGTATGTGTGTGTGTTACATATCTTGCGTATCTACGTGTGTGTACCTTTGTGTGTAACATACCTCGTGTGTGTACGTGTCTGTGTGTACGTACCTGTGTGTGTGTAACATACCTCGTGTGTGTACGTGTCTGTACGTATCTTTGTGTGTAACATACCTTGTGTGTCTACGTGTGTGTACGTATCTTTGTGTGTGTGTAACATACCTCGTGTGTACGTACCAGTTTGTGTCACATACCTCGTGTGTGTACTTGTGTGGGGAGCGGTGGCGCCGTGGTTAGCGCACTATCGCTACAACAACACTGGGGATACAAAGACGGCCGGCGTTGTGTTGACCACACCGTGACACGTTTCGTGCGTTCTTGCCGCTCACAGCAGCACTTGTCCCAACATCCTATTGAAGCTATACGGGGGGGGGGCTTTGTATGTATAGAGGCTGCGAGGTGGTCCATGAAATAGCAGTCCATCAAATTCGCGATTGAATCCATCTGTGTGGAGCTTTGAGTGCAAGCCCCTTTAATACGTCTGCGTGGGTGTCCATCCCTGGTTTCACGTGGCACGAAGTCAAACACTCGTGGCTTGAATTGGCCACACATTCCGCAAACGTAGCAGGGCCCTCTCGAAAGAGAGTCTTGAGATTCGGTGAGGCTTTTCCCACGATAAATAAACGGTACGAACGATGTGTACAACGATAGTATATCTAGCTCAGGAGGGTCGGCAACTTTGTGGGGTCTTTGAAGGACTGCTGCTTATTTATTAAGGAACGTCCGTCTCGTATTCACCGCACAGGTCAGTGCGTTGGGGGCTCTGTTTTCAAAATAGGTCAAACAACCCTCAATATGATAATTGGTTTTTTTACCCTTTTATCTGGTAACAAAACTGACACCTTTTTTTACAAGGCGTCATGTTTGCATTGATCACAATGCCTGCAGTCGGAATGCAAACAAAAAAAACACAACTCTGATAATGTGCACTGTCCTTGAAATTGATTGGTCCACACCCGAGACAGCTTTCCTTAGAGCCTAGTCTCACATGGTGTTGGACCAGATGACGCCAAAAGGCGCACAACTCAAAGACAACAGACCATCAGAGTATGAGAGCTCGGGTCTAAGCATTTACACCATTGGAACCTCATTTGCCAGTAGCAAAATATGATAATTGTTTTTTTACCCTTTTATCTGGCAACAAAACTGACACCTTTTTTTACGAGGAGTCATGTTTGCATTGACCACAATACCTGCAGTCGGAATGCAAACAAAAAACATAACTCTGATAATGTGCACTGTCCTTGAAATTGATTGGTCCACACCCGAGACAGCTTTCCTTAGAGCCTAGTCTCACATGGTGTTGGACCAGATTACGCCAAAAGGCGCACAACTCAAAGACAACGCACCATCAGAGTATGAGAGCTCGGGTCTAAGCATTTACACCATTGGAACCTCATTTGCCAATAGCAAAATATGATAATTGGTTTTTTACCCTTTTATCTGGCAACAAAACTGACACCTTTTTTTTTACAAGGAGTCATGTTTGCATAGACCACAATACCTGCAGTCGGAATGCAAACAAAAAAACACAACTCTGATAATGTATGCACTGTCCTTGAAATTGATTGGTCCACACCCGAGACAGCTTTCCTTAGAGCCTAGTCTCACATGGTGTTGGACCAGATATTTCACAATGGCACTTGTTCTTTGTGTTGCTGACTCCTGAGATAGCTGGTACTCTGAAAGTGACATGTTGGTAATGTGCAGCAAAAACATCAATTGTTGTACTGTACTGTGTGCTCTATGCTGTCACGTCTATTATGCTTCCGCACCGACTGACCAGCGTGGTGAAGTATGAAGTATCTGTACAATGCAACATGCGATTGCGTAGCATCTAAGGGTGCCACGGTGGCGAGATGTTAACTACCTCGCCTGGTGTGCAGGAGGTCGTGGGTTCGATGCCGAACCTGACGTCTGCTGCTGTATGTTTGGAGTTTGCGTGTCTCTCTTTCTCTCCCCGTGGTCGCGTGGATTTGTCTCCGGATCCTCCGGGTTTTCCCTCCGCATTTAGAAACATGCTTTTAGAGTATGTGGCTGCTATATGAAAAATATCTATATAGCTCAGTGGGCCTTATCTGGTGAAATAAAAATGTTTGTTTAAGTTTGACCGCGTCTCAAAACGCCTGTGGAGTAACATGGGGGATATATTTATTTTTCGATTTAAAGCTTTCGTGACTGCAGGGATTCATCTTCTTGGTTCTTTCGGTAAAGTCTTGACTTTACCGAAAAGAACCAAGAAGATATATTTATTGTATGGTTGATAGTCATTCTGTCATATGTCGTTTTGTGCGAGTCTATGGGTCCTTGGATGAGTCTAAACAATTCAATAACTGTATATGTAGGGTCTAATACTCTGCTTACCCAGGCTAGCCACACCGAGGCATAGTCCTCTTTTTAAGGAGAGTCCTGCTTTGGGTTATTTTTACTTAAAGATATTTTCAGCAAATTTATGATGAGTGTTTCATGTACACGTGGGAGGACGCCGGATCAGCTGGAGACAATGCACGCGCGATGGAAACGGGTGGCGATTAGTCCACTTGCTGTACTGCCTCCTCCTGGCGAGCCAGGGTATGGCACCTCGATGCCCATGGGATGAGAGTTTTCTCAACATCCACCAAACCCTCGCCTCCATGTGATGTTGTGTGGCATGCTTACAGCGCCACTTAATACATTATTTAAAGGTTAATAATTGAGCTAGGACTCCTGACAACATCGTTAATCATCGCGCAACGTGTTGAACAAGTGTGACGTTTACCTTTGTTCATCTATATTTGTAACTGTGGTTAGACTTGATCTTGTCACAGGAATGTGGAATGTCCTATAACACGGGGGAGAAATCGCGTCCCTGTTGCAAAGGTTGCCTGGACCTAAGCATGAGAGCAGAGTGGCACTATCAGAAGACCTGACTAGGGCTGAACGATTAATCGATTTCAAATCGAAATCAGAATTAGAAACAATGCGATTGGCAAATTGCAAAGGCTGCGATTTGAAAAGTCCTATTGGAATTGTTTATATTAAATTATTATAACTTTATTTATTTAATTTAACAATTGTTTTATGTTGTATTGTTCTATTTCAATTAAAATATTTTAATAAATACATGTTGGCACCAATTAATATCTTTAAAGTTCTCATCTTTGCATTATAATATATAGAGCAGATCATATTTAGATGGTCTCATGTGGTAATGCTCCATCACATGTTTTAAATCTGTTACAGAGTGAATATTGAACTGCAACTTGACTTTAAAAAAATGTAATCGCAATATCTGTCAGAAAAATCGCAATTAGATATTTTCCCCAAATCGTTCAGCCCTAGACCTGACTCGCAAGCCGAGGCAGATCAACAGAAAGATATTCCAACAATCCAATACAGTCAAACGACTTTCACCAAAGCATGCCAAATACATCAAACCCAGACGACCCGCACTCACGTGGCAGAACAAACACAATAGCACAATGCAAACACGGAGTGAAATTAACTCGGGTCAGGCAGAAACACGAGTTGAACAATAACTATTCCACTTAAACTTTCCAAACAGAGGAACCCGGCCAAGTAACCGGGTAGATCTGTAGATGCTAGTAACAGTGCAAATCGTTAACAATCCACCGTTCGCCGAGGTCCTGCCCATGCCGTTGCGGGTCTTACTAGTTGTATGGCCATACTTCGCCACGCTGGTCAGGTAGATCGTTGAAGGTGGGGAGCACAGAAGAACAAACAGTGCAACAATGGATTTTTCTGCATTGCTCTCTGCTGCCTACCAGGTAGTCTCACAGCAGTCGAAAGCAAGCTGTCATGCACGGTAGTTGCTCCATCTAAGTGCTATCCAGGCTGAAGGCCTGCTTATAAAGTAACCATGTGAATTGAGTCAATTAATGAGTTAAATGGCAAGGGCAGTGTCGGCTGGTGAGTCGATATTTTCTGTGTGGCTTGGGAGCCAGAAGGGATCGGGAAGCCAGCAAAAGATAAAAGATTGGCTGCTCACAGATAGAGCTTGTGTCTGTCCCACAAAGCCACGATATTAAGTTACCTATCCATGACTTACACACCACCGTGGCTCCTTTACAGACTAAATATTGCAACATCCCCATGGATTTTCGTGGAGCGATCGATTACAGATTTGATTGATGCCCAGCACTAACCCCCTAACCCCTTCCCAGTGCACATGAGTTTCATCAACATCGTTGTCATCATCATCAGACATTATCCACTGCTGCATGAAGGCCTCCTGAAACCGTCGACATCTCTCACGGTCTCGCGATGCAATAATCCATCTAGCTCCGGCACGCCATCTGATTTTATCGCTCCATCTCCACGGTGGACGTCCTCTCAGGCATGTTCCCCCCTTTTGCTGCCACTGTCGTTAGTTTAAACCGCGGACATTCATCCTTTGCAGCGACGCATCCTGCTAAGGCTCAAATTTTCTTTAACGGTAACTATGACGTCTCAACTTCTGGATGTCCTCTAACCCACGTGTGTTTCCCTCCCCCTCTCCATTATTCCCGTCTCCCAGCGTAATTCCAAGCGTGCACCTGTCCACGCTTCTGTGCGCACTTTGCCCACGAGTGCAGCACGTCTTAATTAATGCATGAACTGCCAAGCAATCCACTCATCGTGCCCCCTTCCCTATGTGGCCCCCCACCCACACAGACGCCCGAAGAGATTGAACGGCTGACCGTGGACGAAGGACTGAGTGACATCGAACGTGCGGTGCATCTGCTGAGGTGGGAACTTACGTGCAGGAACCTGTCGTTAAAATAACTCTTGCCTCGACAGTGGCGTAGCTATCGAGTGGGTGTACAGGCGGTGCAACTGCACCGGGTCCCACACGCCAGAGGGGGCCCAGGCGCCAGAGGTCGCAAACGGGTTTTGATTCCTTACCCGTACCCGTACCCGGCCGCACCAGGGTCGCAAACGGGTACCCGTACCCGTACCCGTACCCGGCCGCACCCGTACCCTACCCGTACCCGGCCGGGTACGGGTAGGGTACGGGTATCGGGTACCTGATTGCGACCTCTGGGATGAAGCCATATTGCAGGCGCGGGTGGGTTGATTCTAGGAACTTGAATTGTGAGAAGAGACAAGACGTTGGGAAATGAGTGACAAACAGTTACTCACCAGTGACTCACGGTCTACCCGTACCCGTACCCGGCCGCACCAGGGTCGCAAACAGGTACCCGTACTCGGCCGGGTACGGGTAGCTGGGTATCGGGTATGGTACGGGTATCGGGTACCCGGTTGCGACCTCTGCCAGGCGCCAGGCTGTGAGGAGGGGGGGATGATGAACATGGCACTCCCTCCACCACCAATTTCATATCTTGCACCAGTACCCATGCCACTGCCACTTCGAAGCTAACAAGAATATGTTATAATAATGTAATGATTCACTCCCCAGGTAATTTGAGGAATTGTCATGATTCAGGGTCACCAATCAACTCAAGAATCAATCATTTTGAAAATCTAGTTTGAACGAAGTCACTTTTTATATTACATCGGCTATGTTTCATGTTGTTCGTTTCATTAGCTTAAAGGCATTCGTATATCATTTGCAGAAATCATAGATTATAATCGATTCTTAGAGGTACGAGTTGATGCATGCGTTGCGAGCAAAGGGATCATCACGACTATGTATATTTTCACGGTCGTGCCATGTAGCTTGCAAAATTAATCATTACATGCTTAGAAAATTACTTTGCAGAAGAATGACTAAATTACCGCGCAGGATAATGACACATTTGGCAATGCAGTGAAAGCAATTCCCTTGCTAAGGGTTGCGTACACAAGATGCATTCATCGGAGTGGAACAGTCTAAGCTAATTCTGTGAAGCACTCCAGTGGAGTAATAATTCATTGTTGGTGATTGTAGTTTGACTAAAACTGAGACCACCACTTGGACATCAAACAAACGTGAACGCCAAGTTATTGCATGCTCATGCTCAAAATAAGCTGCCGTCACTGACCATCTTCACTTATGGGCAGCAGTGGAAATTCCACAGTGCCATGGTGGGGGAGAATTTTATCAACACAGCCGCTGCTGTTAATTTCTCCATCAAGTGGTGCAGTAGCCTCACCAGCTGGTGCTTAATTTACACACCACAGAGCTTTGATGATGATGATCATCATCAAGATCAGTGCTTCATTTCTCACGAACTATTTTCTCGGACGCTGATGGACTGGAGTAGGTAGGGCACGACCAGTCGCCACAGCCATAGGGAAAGGCACATTGGATGTGGCGTGTCGGGTGCAGAAATATTTTCCAAGTTGCTGACCCAGATGGATATGGCTGAAATTGCACCCTGACCACATCACCATAATAATGATTAACTTGTCGATGATGATATGGTTGAGTCAACTCTGGGTGGGTCTTGAACTTAGCTCATAAGTATTGTGTATGTTTATTATAACCAATGTGTTGTGGTGGTGGGGAGGTGGTGCAGTGGTTTGCATGCCACATTAACCCAGCCACAGTTCGTGCCAGCCACGTGTGATGTCGGTACATCAGTCCTGTGATGTCCCCCTTCACCAACCTGCATGGTCAAGTATGGTCAAACAACCACTATAGTCGAGGCCTACATCCAGTCGTGGACTTACGAAGAAGTTGTTATTTGTTAACATTTTTATTATTTATAAACAAGTTGTTAAAGCATTCTTGAAACCCCTATTGGCACCGCCAATTCCCACCGTTGACTCCTGCTACCACTGCTCAACCATACCCTCAAAGACAAAGATCCCCCGTATAGCCTTAACAGACTGTAGGGGCAAGTGCTATTCACGAGCACCTATAAAGACCGGCACGGCACACGAGGCGGTGGGTGGCCAACATCACGCCCGGCCGCCTTTGTCTCCTTCGTGGCGATGTTTTACACATCGCACCAGGTACTCATTTGAGGCTGAGTCGACCTAAGGGCGGCCCAGGACCGGTTTCAGATAATCGTCACTGGTGTTTGCCGTGAACGGGAATCGAACCCGTGTTGCCAGGTTCCTAGCGCAGCGTGCTAACTACTAACATTACCTCTCCCCACAAACACTCACACACACACAGACACGTGTGTGTGTGCACACGTCCAACCCTCATCCTCCCCCCTCCTGTCCGCCACTCTGCATGTGACTGCGGCGTCTCGTAGCGTTTCCCTGGTGATGCGGTCACGTTTCCACCCCCCTCCCCAACACGAAACCACACGGTGGCCCTGCTTGCTGCTCCCCGTACGGACGCACGTACACTCACACTCACTCACTGTACGCGCCACGCGTGACTCGAGCTCACGCACGCGTGCGCTCAATTGTCATAGTGCACTCACCTCGCGTCTGCCAAGCGGACTGATTTGAGGCAGCAAACAGATTCTTTTGGTGGTGATGCTGCTGCTGCTGTCACTGCTTTGCAGGGCACAGGCCCACATTGACAGTAAACAAAACTAAAAACTCAACGCGTGTGTCAGTAACATTGTGTTGTGGCTCTAAAAGGGGAAATTTGTATATGTAACACTGGTCAACAAAAAAAACATTTTTTTCTGGCCTGGACTTTTGCAGCTGTTTTAGACTAATTTCAGGGTGCTGATTCCAAATTTGATCTCTATCACATCTCATTTTATGCTATCGGCATACCCCATTTTAATTGATTTTACCCGAAATTAACAAGTTGTTGCGAGTCAGTGACTGCTTTAGTGTTAAAATATGGTGCTGTATTTTTAGGATAGTGTGTTTATAATATTTTATGTAGATATCCACATTTTTTTATATTATTCTTCTGCAGTTTTTCTTGAAAATGCAATATTTGATATCTCAAAAACCTGATGTGATAGACAAAAACTGATGCCAGATTTGGAATCAGCACCCCAAAATTACCGTAAAACCGTTGGAATACCTTATGCCAGAAAAAGTGTGTTGACCAGTGTAATAGGTGACATGGCAGGCAATGGTCCTTCATAGCACATGCATAGACATGCCAGAGAGATAGAGTGGATACAAAGAGGTGGACACTGCACTTTATACCATGGGTGCCACGGTGGCGAGATTTTTAAATACCTCGCCTGACATACAGGAGGTCGTGGGTTCTTTCCCGACCCTTACGCCCGCTGTATATTTGGAGTTTGCATGTTCTCCCCGTGGTTGTGTAGATTTTTCCCAGGGTTCCTACGGTTTATCCCTACACATTCAGAAACATGCATTAAGAGTGTTTGGCTGCTATAAATTTCCACTTGATAAGCCATCTTTTGTTGATATTATTTGTGGCCAGGTCACTTCTGAAAAAGAGCTGTATAACTCAGTGGGCCTTACCTGCTAAAATAAACAATTGTTTAGTTCAATATTCTTTGGGTCTTTCGGTAAAGTCACGTAGATAGGTTAAAAAAAATTTAATATTGAAAAAAATAGATATTTTTCACCGATATACTTGACTTTACCGAAAGACCCAAAGAATATGAATTAATGCAGTCACGAAAGCTTCACTGTTTAGTTTTAGTTTCAATATAATTATAAGGATGTTTCCAAAGCAACAGTTTTTACATTGGAATATTAAGTTACCTATTCCTGGTATCCAAAGGTTTGGCAAGGATGCACATAGAAACACACACACATATCACTCAAGGGTTTGGGTCGTTGCAGTAATTTGTATATTCAGTCTTTCTGTCAAGCCCGCTACTGCGGTGAGGGCTGGATCAGGTTGGTGCACAGATTGTCTGCTTTGAGCAGCATCACCCCCCACTTCGGATGTTCCAGAATCAGAATCTTTATACTGGAGGAATCCGATGAGCTATGAAGATCTTTTTCACAGATTTCCAGGAGTTTTTACAGATGTCCAGTAGTTCATTGGCAGCGCATGGCTGGATGGACACGGGCTCACTGATATAATCCCTTGCGATGGTGAAACCCATCTTTGTCCAGCACGTGACGGCCTTAGAGAATCATCACGGCCGACGGAATTGAGCAGAATTTTTTTGTTAACGCGCGGAACTTTCCATTTCTCGTTATATATTTTTTTGCTCGGCGATAAAATACTCGAATTCCTATAAACGCCTGCAAGTGTAAACAGAGAAGCGCATTTATCTGATGCGCGTGTATGCTTAGGCCTATGCCTTACACCACATCTTGAGCGGCGGCTAAAAACAGCACACGTGAAGGCGCAGTCCCTTCAGCCGTTATCACCTTCAACGGACTGAGTAATCGTGCTTGCACACAGCTGTGACAAGAGAGATCAGCCGGCAACACCAGCAGCACCAGCAGCCGGCAAATGCTACACGGCGCACACCGGATTCTCCGGATAGTAAGATGCTCTGGAAAGTAAGACGCACTCCCGAAACTTGCGCCCCAGTGTCAAGAGAGTTGTGTTTTACCAGGTAAGAACTGGGCGCCGATACACGGGCTCGTTTGCAAGTTGCATCTGATCGACATGGTCATAAAAGTAAAATGAAGTTATACAATCTTCGTCAAACGCACAGATGCACCCCTATCGGATGATGTAACGCTCCTCCAACTTTCGCTTTGGGGGGCTGCATATTATACTCCGGGGAAAATGGTAAATGGGAAAGTGAGTGGCTCAAGTCAGCGACTGAAGAAGCTGGCAGCACGTTGAGCGAAACGTCGGACATCGTGCCGCACACACAATCCGATAAAGCCTTGGGAGGAGCAACCGCAGCGGCACGACCGCAAGGTCCCCGCGGAGCGGCGGCCGACTCTTCAGCCGTGCCCTCCGATCGGGCTCCACACTCAGCGAGCAACAGGCACCGTT